CTTGCGCTCCTCTGGTCTGCTCTTGGGAGTCTGTATAGTATTCTTTATTTCAGTCAGTGTATGCTTAATTTCTAGTTGGTTCCCCATCATAATATCAAGGGTCTCATTAGTTTTCTTGTAGATCTCATTAAGTTTATCGGCAGCTTCTAAACAGTTCTTGAGAGACCTTAAAAGTGTGGTTCTGAACTCTATATCTTCCATTGACAATTTTGTCCTGTTTCTTTGTCTCCGCATTTTGTTATGCTTTCTTGGTGCACCCCCTAGTGGTCTTTGTGCGCAGTCTTGTAGTTAAGCCTTGATTGTTTTAGCTAATACCAGGGAGGGTTTGACCTCCAGGCCAAGTGGCTGTGAGAATCAGCTGTGTCTGCAGTGAGAGAACTTCTGTCCTCTAGAGAGGTGCTAATCTAGCCTTTGCCTGAGGCTATTCGGCAAATGCCTCTGTGCAGGGCTCGGGCGGGGCGGGTGGGTCCCACAGGATCAACAGGGTGGGCTGGAGAGAGCAGTTATGGCTGCTCTCAGTCCTGTCCCCAAGGGCTCTGCCTCTCTGAGTCCCAGCACCCGCTGCAAACCTCGGAGAGAAAGCTGCACTCGCTCTGATCGAAGCCAGACAGTCCCGCTTCTCCCGTTTGAGTCAGGGTCCCTAAAGACTCGCCCATATCTGGAGCTCAGAGTCTGCGACTCCCTCCCAATTGAAAACGCCAACCGCGCCCTCCGCCGCCAGCACACTCCGCACCTCAGAATTTGACTTCAGCACTGCGCCTCCTCTGAGTGTCCGTATGCGTTTCTCTTTCCTCCTAGTTGTAGGACTTCCACTCAGCCAGCGTTCCTGTGGTTCTGGGTGATGTCCGTTCCGTCTTTTAGTTTCACTTTTGAAGTAGTTGTTCAAGGCAGCAAACTCCGGCGTTAACCTATGCCGCCATCTTGGTTCTCCGATTTATCCAGTAATCTTAACATTCATTGATGATCTTTGCTTGAATTAGTTACTATATTGGTGATTGCAAAATGGGTGGTTTTTTAGTTCTGTCATTCCTTGTATATTTATAAGTTAGCCTTTTCCTTTAAAGAACAGCCCATACTTTTTCTTGGGCTATATTTTTCATACAGTAAAATGTGTATATATTAAATCTACATTTTGATGACTTTTTATACCTTTGGAACCATGACTGTCCCTCTTTTGTATCACTGTAGATATGATTTTTTTGATACATGTCTTATAACCTTTTACTTTTTTTTAAAATAAATATTTTTATTGATTTTAGAGAGGAAGGGAGAGCGGGGGGGGGGGGGTTGGGGAGAGAAAGAAACATCAGTGATGAAAGAGAATCATTGATTGGCTGCCTCCTGCATACTCCCCACTGGGGATCAAACAGAAAACCCAGGCATTTGCCCTGACTGGGAATGGAACTGTGACCTAATTCATAGGTTGACACTCAATCACTGAGCCACACTGATTGGGCCCTTTTATTTCTTGTTTCAAATTTGGCTAATGGGAGCATCTTTAAGCTGATTCATGATGTCCTCTTGACCATGTTTCCATCTGTTTTTGAGCACTTATTTAAGCACAGAAAAGGCTGGTCTTGTCAGCTTTAGACCTGGAATCAGCCATTTATCCAAAGAATCCTGGTTAATTTTAGTGGGAAATGGTATTTAGAAACCAAGATCTGAGCACAAAGTGTGTTTGTTCCTACTAGGATACCATTGTTTATAGGCTCTTTTAGTGGTCAGGGCTGCGAAGTAAATTTTAAAAACATTATGACTTTATATTTTGAGTTCATACTGATAATTCCACTTCTAATCCAATATCACAAAGTTCTTTTGGTTTTTGTTGTAGTTCTTTTCCTAGCATTTTCCGTTGGTAACATAATTCTTTTATTTTTATTCTTTTGTTTTGATTCATATGTTTAACACTATAAAGTTCCCTGGGTTCACTGCTTTAATTTGTTCCAGAGATTCTGATATATAGCCTTTTCATTATCATTTAAAAAATTATCATTTTTTAATAGAAAGTTAAATTCTAGGTGGAAGGGCCTTCTGATTTTTAATTTTATTTCAATTGTTTTATTCCAAGAAGATTAGATAATGTTGTGTTTTTATTTTTATTTCTCCTTTTTGGAACTCTATTGCCTATCTATAAAGATTGTTGTTAGGATTAACTGAGTAAAATATTTTGATATGGCACATACTGTTAGCTTTTATTATTATGTATACTTTGCATTAGTGGGGGTAAAGGATGTGTAGTGTTGTATTTAACATTGGATTAACTGTAGAAGTTGATAAGTATAGCCAAATCAGTTTACTAAAGTTTAAAGATAAATTTTGGAAATGCCATGTTTGGTTTGATTCTTATATGATCCTTTATTAGTCTAATCTGCATATGTCAGCTGTTGTGTAGCCATAGATTTATAGAGTAGTCTGTATTATATCCTGGTTTATATTTATTTATTTATTTATAAAATATATTTTATTGATTTTTTACAGAGAGGAAGGGAGAGGGAGAGAGAGTTAGAAACATCAGTGAAAGAGAAGCATCGATCAGCTGCCTCTTGCACATCCCCTACTGGGGATGTGCCTGCAACCAAGGTACATGCCCTTGACCGGAATTGAACCTGGGACCCTTCAGTCCACAGGCCGACGCTCTATCCACTGAGCCAAACGGATCCGGGCTATATATTTATTTTTATTTTATTTAATTAATTACCTAATATCTGCAGTTTATTTTATAGGAAAGTTTTTTCTAAGAGTGTGATTATCTTTTTTTAAAAAAATTCTTTGTTTCAGGTATTAAGTATGTCTCCTTTTTCCCCCATTGATCTCTTCCCGATCGATGTCACCCCCCTACTGTCTGTGTCCATGGGTTCTGCTTATATGCATGCATACAAGTCCTTGGGTTGACTGCCCCCTCAACCCCCGCGCCTTCCCTATGAGGTTGGATGGTCTGTTTGATGCTTCTATGTCTCTGGCTCTATTTTAGTTCATCAGTTTATGTTGTTCATTATATTCCACAAATGAGTGAGATCATGTGATATTTAAATACTTTATTTTTTATTGATTTCAGAGAGGAAGGGAGAGGGAGAGAGAGATAGAAACATCAATGATGAGAGAGAATCATTGATTGGCTACCTCCTGCACCCCTCCCCCCCCACACACACTGGGGATTGAGCCCCCAACCCGGGCATGTGCCCTGAGCGGAAATTGAACTGTGATCTCCTGGTTCATAGGTCAACGCTCAGCCGTTGAACCATGCCAGCCTACCTTGACTAAGTATATTTTAAATTAATTTTGATTATTTATTTAGTGTCCATTCAAGATTATGGTTCATCTAAATCAGCGGTTCTCAACTTGTGGGTTGCTACCCCTTTGGCGGCCGAACGACCCTTTCACAGGGGTCGCCTAAGACCATCCTGCATATCAGATATTTATATTACGATTCATAACAGCAGCAACGTTACAGTTATGAAGTAGCAATGAAAATAATTTTATGGTTGGGCTACAACATGAGGAACTGTATTTAAAGGGCCAGAAGGTTGAGAACCACTGACTAAATTCAAGGTGTAACGGCGGTGTCTGTCAGGATGCTCTCATCTTCAAGTACTAGAATGCCAAATGACAGTAGCTTAAACTTTAAAAACACAGTTTTCACATAAGGACATATTTTTCATATAAAATTTTCAGAGATATAGGTAGTTCTAGGATTGATAACACCAACTGACCATTATCTTCAAGGGTCCAGCCTCTTTCCATCTTTCTGCTTTGCTTTCTTCAGTGTATGGATGATATATCTCCCCCTGATTGCAGTGTGACTGCTGTATAGTTCAGCACAATGCTTTCACCAGCTGAGTTTCCTAGTAGTAGGAAAGGAAGTTGGGGCAAAAAGGCTTACTTTTTGAGATTATTTCTCTTACATTAGAAGACTAGAGGCCCGGTGCATGAATTCATGCATGGGTGGGGTCCCTCGGGGTGGCCTGTGGAGATTGGTGCCCAGCCTGTGCCCCCAGCCTTGCAGCCTCAGCTCACACCCCCAGCCTCGCAGCCCCTCAGGCCCACCTGGCACCCCGCCTTGGCCTGGTGCCGCCCCCTCACCTGCTCTACCATCCTGTCTGTAGGGATGATTGGTCAGGGCTGGGCCCCCCGCCCAGCTCCCTCAGTGCCTGGGAGCCAGGCGGCAGCCTTGCCTCCCGCTGCCATCTGCGGGGTGATTGGGCACCTGCTCACACCTGCCTTGGCCTGGTGCCACCTGCTAACCTGCTCCACCATCCTGACACAGTCCTGCTCTCCTCGGGGCCCATCGGGGCTGGCAGCGCCTCCACTGCTGCACGCTGCCAGTACTGCGTCGCTGACCCCTGCCATGTTCCGCGTCGCCCCCTGGTGATCAGCGCACGTCATAGTGAGCAGTCAAACTCCTGGTCTCCTGGTCGAACTCCCGGTCCAATGACTGCCTGAGGAGACAATTTGCATATTAGGCTTTTATTATATAGGATGAAAATCTTTCCCAGAGGCTTCCAGTAGATTTTCCTTCTGTCTTACTGGCTAGACCAAGATAACATTCCCATCCCTAGCTAGGTCATCACCAACAAAGAGAAATGGCATTGACATAATTGGCTTACAACGTTTATATTCATCTGTTGGGATAGGCATTTTGCTTCCTATCAGAGTTGGTGTTCTTAGCAAGTTAGAAGTGGGGCTTACTATGGAGTTATTATCTATATTATAACCAGTTATTACCACTACTGTCTGTCTCTGGACAGAACCTAATTGACAACTGTGCTTTTATGAAAGATAAACTTTCTTTTGTGGAAAGGAATCTAGGTGTTGCATAGTGTTTTGATGATGAGTGCTTAACTGTTGTAATGAGGCAGTGATTGGAATTAGAGAAGAAATTAAATAATTTTTTTCTTCATTTTGAAGAGGACCTTGAAGCTTTATTTCTTTGATAAGAAATAAATGTGTGAATCAGAATAGACAGAATAACTAGACTAACATGTCTCATTTTTTATTTTTAGTCAGAATCTGGAGATGTGAATAGAAACACAGAACTGAAGAAACTTCGAATTTTTGGGGCTGGGCCTAAGGTCGTGGGCCTGGCAATGGGAGCAAAAGATAAAGAAGGTAAAAATCTATTGTTTGGTCATGAAAACAAATAAGGTATAACAGTGTGGTTATAGCAAGATTCAAATGATATTTGAATTGCAGTCTGCCTTGGGATTTTCCTAAGACTTGTAAACTTACAACTTGGTTCCTAGAGAAATCTTTTTTTGTGTCAGATCTTAAATTTAAGGTGTGAGGAGCCATATTAGGTTGAATTTTTTGTAATATTTTGGGAGAGAAATTTTCCTCCATGTTTTAATATGTGGCACAGAGATTTATTGTAGTTTCTAAAGGCTAGTTTATGAGAGAATGGTGAAATTAATGGTTCTCACCTGGTGGTCTAAGTCTTATAACTTTTAAATTCTAAGAGAAATAGAGGATTCTCTGGCCTTTAGTATCAAAAGATAGTGGGGAGAACTTATGACTTATATTCGAACTATAATTTTGATATTTTTCTGTAAGCCGTGGTATATTATTACACTTCATTTAAATAAACTCTTTGAGGAAAGCCTGTTAATCTCAGGTTAGCATGTTTGAAACTTTTAATTAGTAAAATTACTAATACAAAGATCAAGTTCCATCTTTACCTGTAGGTACATGTCAGTTTGAAAACTCAATTTAACAAAGATTGCATTGGATCTATTTTTAATGTGTAAGAATTTAATGAAATACTATAATCACAAATCATATTAACTATACATTTTATGATATTATTAATTAACTCATAATTCAGATTGTGGACTGAACTCTGGAGGATCACTCTGAAAAAGTTCAGTGTGATAGGACAATACATGATAATGTTTTAAGAATTAAGCATTTTGATTATCTTTTCCATTCTTTTAATTATTGTATTACCTGGCAGTGATCATAAAACTAGTCTCAAATTATTGCATATGAAGTATATGATAAATACTTCATATAGTCAGTATAGAATTAGTACTTAAGATCTCTGGAGTATGATTGCCTGGATTGGAATCCCAATCTGCCATTGACTGGCTGTGTGATTTTGGACAAGTTATGTAACTTCTTTGTACTTCAGATTCTTTATCTTCAATGGGGGATAATAGTTTTTTACCTCATAGTGTTGTGAGATTTTAACTAATTTAAATAATTTTAAATAGTGTCTGGTCCAGAGTAAGCTCTCAACATTAGTTTTTGCTATTATTATATAACTATTTTTATTTTAAGATGAGGTCTCCCGAAGACGAAAAGTTACCAACAGGTCAGACGCATTTAACATGCAAATGAGACAACGGAAAGGAACTCTCTCTGTTAACTTTGTAAGTGTTCTGAGATGTGTCAGGAGGGAAAGGATTTACTTTTATTTAGTTTTGCACTTTTTACCTTGCTCTAATATCTTAGCATTCCATTTAGTTAATTAATTTGGTTAGAAGACTTAATGGTGAACCTGAAGTTGCATCTTTGGTTATGTAATGCTGATCTTACTTTGTTCCATATACATAGACTATTTCCATAAGTCATAGACTTGTGAGTAACTAAGTAAGAGAATGAATATGAATCTGTAAATCCTTGAGCTGTATTATAGACAGGGCTCAGTATTCATTCTCTAACGGTATTTGTTTATAGGAAGGATGACATGGTATATTTTATTTCTATAAATTGACTTTCAAGTACCCTAGATATGTAGTCTTTTTTTTTCTTTATTCTAATAACTTAATATGCTCTTATTAACTTTCCCATAGAAGCTCTAAGGAAATTTAGGACATTTTATGAAAAGCTATTTAAGAACAATTATTTAAATATTCAGGATTTAAGTTGTATTTACTTTTTATTAGTATACATTATTTTGTTTCAATTAAGGAGTTCCTGGTAAAAATTTAATGTTAATTATTATGGAAAATAGACTTTTATTTTACTTTGTTTTTTAACAGGTTGATCTCTATGTTTGTATGTTTTGTGGTCGGGGAAATAATGAAGATAAATTGCTTTTGTGTGATGGATGTGATGACAGCTATCATACATTTTGTTTAATTCCCCCACTACCTGATGTGCCCAAAGGAGATTGGAGGTGTCCTAAATGCGTTGCTGAGGTACAATTTACAGATTCTTTTTATTTTATTTTATTTTTTAATTTTTTTTAAAAATTAAATCTTTATTGTTCAGATTATTACATTTGTTCCTCTTTTTTCCCCCCATAACTCCCCTACTCCCAGTTCCCACTTCACCCTCTGCCCTCACTCCCCACCCACTGTCCTCATCCATAGGTGCACGATTTTTGTCCAGTCTCTTCCCGCATCCCCCACACCCCTTTCCCCCCCCAAGAATAGTCAGTCCCTTTCAATGCCCCTGATTCTGTTATAATCATCAGTTCATCCTGTTCATCAGATTATTTATTCACTTAATTTTTATATTCACTTGTTGATAGATGTGTATTTGTTGTTCATAATTTGTATCTTTACCTTTTTCTTCTTCTTCTTAAAGGATACCGTTCAGCATTTCATATAATACTGGTTTGGTGGTGATGAACTCCTTTAGCTTTTCCTTATCTGTGAAGCTCTTTATCTGACCTTCAATTCTGAATGATAGCTTTGCTGAATAAAGTAATCTTGGTTGTAGGTTCTTGGCATTCATCACTTTGAATATTTCTTGCCACTCCCTTCTGGCCTGCAAAGTTTCTGTTGAGAAATCAACTGACAAGCATATGGGTATTCCCTTGTAGGTAACTGAGTTTCTTTCTCTTGCTGCTTTTAAGATTCTCTCTTTGTCTTTTGCTCTTGGCATTTTAATTATGATGTGTCTTGGTGTGGTCCTCTTTGGATTCCTTTTGTTTGGGGTTCTCTGTGCTTCCTGGAGTTGTAAGTCTATTTCTTTCACCAGGAAGGGGAAGTTTTCTGTCATTATTTCTTCAACTAAGTTTTCAATATCTTGCTCTCTCTCTTCTTCTGGCACCCCTATAATTCTGACGTTGGTACACTTGAAGTTGTCCCAGAGGCTCCTTACACTATCTTCATATTTTTGGATTCTTTTTTCATTTTGCTTTTCTGGTTGGGTGTTTTTTCCTTCTTTGCATTTCAAATCTTTGACTTGATTCTTGCGCTCCTCTGGTCTGCTGTTGGGAGTCTGTATAATATCCTTTATTTCAGTCAATGTATGCTTAATTTCTAGTTGGTCCGTTATCACAACATAGAGGGTCTCACTAGATTTCTTGAGGCTCTCACTGCATTTATTGGCGGTTTCTAGAAAGTTCTTGAAAAACCTTAAAAGTGTGGTTTTGAACTCTATATCCAGTAGTTTGCTTTCCTCCATTTCTGTCATTTGTGTCCTGTTTCTTTGTCTCCACATTTTTTATGCTTCCCTGTGTTGGTAGAGTGGTTTTCTGTGCTAAGTGTCCTCTAGGGCCCGGTGGCTCAGCCTCCCCAATTACCTGAGGTAGACAGCCTTGGTGCACCCCCTTGTGGGCTTTGTGCAGTCTTGTTGTAGTTAAGCCTTGATTGTTGTAGGTAACACTGGGAGGATTTGACCTCCAGGCCAATTGGCTGTGAGAATCAGCTGTGTCTATGGTGGGAGAACTTCTGTCTGAAGACACCCTTCTGGGGCAAGACTTGCTTCAGTGGGGCTTTGGTGCTCACTGAGTCTGCCCCCTGAGTGTGTCCCTTATGGATCTGCGGAGTTATAATTGTGTAGTCCCACTCTGACCACTGGGTACACTGCATCTTGGATCTAAGGAGGTGCTAATCTAGCCTCTGCCTGAGGCTACCTAGCAGGAGCCAGCTGTAAAGCAATGCAAGTTACCCTGGGGTCTTGGGGCAGCTGCAGTTTGTGAAGTAATTTTCAGATTACAAAGGGCCGGGCCTTTCATATGCAAAAGCCTCATGCAGGGCTTGGGCGGGGCAGGGTCCCAGGGTATCAACAGGGCGGGCAGAGCGAGAAGTATGGCTGCTCTCGTTCCTCTTCTCAGAGGCCCCGGCAATCGCTGCGAGTGCCTCCGAGAGAAAGCTGCCCTCGATTTCTGACTGATGCCAGACAGTCCCGTTTCTCCCGTCTGGGTCCCCAGAGACTCGCCCGGAACTGGAGCTCAGAGCTTGAGACTCCCTCCTGATTGAAAAAGACAGTCGTGACCTCAGCCGCCAGGCCTCTCTGCATGCACCTCCTCACCTTTGTAATTTACTTCTGCACCGCACCTCCTCCTGAGTCTCGGTATGCTTTTCTCTTTCCTTCTAGTTGTAGAATTTCCACTCAGCCAGCCTTCCTGTGGTTCTGGATGTTGTCCGTTCCGTCTTTTAGTTGTATTTTTGAAGTGGATGTGCGAGGCAGCAATCTCCAGTGTTTACCTATGCCACCATCTTGGTTCTCCTCCTACAGATTCTTTTTAAACTAAGAACAATAACACATGCATACACACATATAGTAAACACATTCCCAAAAGCTTCTTCCATTCTGTTTTTGTTCTTTACTGTTAAAATCACCAGGATTTTTAAAGAGAGATATTGAATGGAACTGTAAAAATTGTATTGTGACAGCTTGCTTTTCAAAGTTTTTTTTCTGACTATGGTTCAACAGTTCTGTTTATTGCTGCAGATGAATGAAACTTTTGCTCAGAATTTTCATATTCCTAGAAAACAATAAAAATAAAGGCTGTAGGTTATTTTGTTTTCTTTTTTATTTTATTTTGTGTTTTTTTATTTTAATCTTTATTGTTGAAAGTATTACATAGGTCCCCTTTTTCCCTCATTGACCCCTTCTAGTCTGCCCCCATCCCTCGCCCCAGGCCTTCACCACCCTATTATCTGTGTCCATGGGTTATACATATATGCATACAAGTTCTTTGGTTGACCTCTTCCCACCCACTCTGAGGTTCCACAGTCTATTCCAGTGATGGTGAACCTATGAACCTATTAATTAGCTTTGCATTTCAAAACCAATTCACCTCTGACACGCGAACTCATTTTTTTTGGTTGATTTTTCTTTGTTAAATGGCATTTAAATATATAAAATAAATATCAAAAATATAAGTCTTTGTTTTACTATGGTTGCAAATACCAAAAAATTTCTATATGTGACACAGCACCAGAGTTAAGTTAGGGTTTTTCAAAATTCTGACATGCTGAGCTCAAAAGGTTTGCCATCACTGGTCTATTCCATGCTTCTATGTCTCTGGATCTATTTTGTTCAGTTTATTTTGTTCATTAGAGTCCACATATGAGTGAGATTATGTGATACTTGTCTTTCTCTGACTGGCTTACTTTGCTTAGCATAATACTCTATTTTTCTTTTTTTATTTATTTTTAAAAAATATATATTTTTTCGCCGAAACCGGTTTGGCTCAGTGGATAGAGCGTCGGCCTGCGGACTGAAAGGTCCCGGGTTCGATTCCGGTCAAGGGCATGTACCTGGGTTGCGGGCACATCCCCAGTGGGAGATGTGCAGGAGGCAGGTGATCGATGTTTCTCTCTCATCGATGTTTCTAACTTTCTATCTCTCTCCCTTCCTCTCTGTGAAAAATCAATAAAATATATTTAAAAAATATATATATATATATTTTTTCATTGATTTCAGAGAGGAAGGGAGAGGGCGAGAGAGATAGAAACATCAGTGATGAGACAAAATCATTGATCGGCTGCCTCCTGCATGCCCCCTACTGGGGATCGAGCCCACAATCTGGGCACGTGCCCTTGACTGGAATCAAACCTAGGACTCTTCAGTCTACAGGCTGACGCTCTGTCCAGTGAGCTAAACCAGCTAAGGATATTTTTCTTTTTTTATTTATTTTTATTTTCAGTAGTTTTTATTTTTTATTATTTTTTTAAATAATTTTTATTTCTTAAAGTATTACAAAGAGAATTACATATGTCTCCTCCCCCCCCCCCCCCTTGACATTCCCCCCAGCCACCACCCGTCCCCCCCACCCCCCGGTGTCTTTTGTCCATTGGTTAATCTTATATGCCTGAATATAAGTCCTTCGGTTGATCTCTTAATCCCCCCCCCCCAAACCCTCCCCAGGCTTTCCACTGTAGTTTGACAGTCTATTCAATGTTGCTCTGCCTCTGCATCTACCGCTGTTCATCAGTCTATACTGGTCCCCATTATCTGTCCCAACCTCACTGGAGCAGTCCCAACCTCACCGGGTCCGTCCCTACCTCACCGGGGCTGTTTTAAGCTCACTGGGGCCATCCCGACGTCACCGGGGTCGATTCAACCTCGCTGGGGCCGCCTCGACCTCCCTGGGGCCGCTTCAACCTCACCGGGGCCGTCCCTACCTCACCGAGGCTGTTTCAACCTCACTGGTGCCGTCCCAACCTCACCGGGGCCGTTTCAACCTATTTTTCTTTTTTTAATTAAAAAACAACAACACACCAGACATGAAACTCTAAAACAGGTATTATGCATTCAGTTTTCATGCTACCAAATAAACTGTTAGCTTGTTTAAATTTTGATTTGATTGTGTAAATTATTCATATTGGAAGATTATATTGATGTCATTGTCATGAAATGCTTAGTCTGTTTACTTATTTTAACAAAATATGATAGCCTATTGAAGGAAAGGAGTTGGCTGGGTGTATCTAGATGTATTCAGAGGTCTTTTATGGCCTTTGAATTATTACTTATTCATCTCAAATAGGTTAGATGGTTCAGAAGCAATTCTACGCTGAGTATTTGTGTGAAATTTGTAATGGTGATTGATAGTTGAAAAAAACATTCTAGCTAGATATTCTAGCAATCCAGTGGATACACCTTTATCCATCATCTCTCCTTCCCATGAACATTTATATACTCTACAGCTAGATGCACTAATATACTGAGAATGATAGGCATCCCTAGGCTTGATGCAGATGAGTAGTCCTATTGGTGTCTGTCATAGTGCCAGAGCTTAATGCCAACTCCAAAGTTTAAATGTGTCTTATTACCACTTTCCTACTGGAAGACTGCGAAAAGTGCAGGTGAGGTTCTATCTAGAACATTATCTCCTAATTCCATATCGAAAGTAATTAACACTTGTTTTGTTTCGGTTGATTGGATTAGCTTTACCTAGGGAAATGATCAACGAAGGTAGTATCTGAGAACCATAATACTTTGTTCAGTTCTGTTTCTGTGAGTTAATCTTAGATATTTTTTTTCTTCCCAGGAATGTAATAAACCTCGAGAAGCCTTTGGATTTGAACAAGCTGTACGAGAGTATACACTTCAGAGCTTTGGAGAGATGGCAGATAATTTTAAGTCTGACTATTTCAATATGCCAGTCCATGTGAGTATATTTTGTCAGTTGGGAAGGTATGAAGTCCAAAGCTTTTGGTTTGCTTTCTAGTTATGTTATTTTGTAGAAAACAGGGACAGCATGTAAAAGATGATAGACCACCACATCTAAAGACTAGGGACCTCGCATCTGTTTCAGTTTCTTTCACTCACTAATGTGGCAGTGTGCACTCACCTGTTAAGAAAAATACTTTGATCTTCAAATGGTTTACTAGCCCTCCGTGAGTAATCCTTATAGAAAAGCATGAAGTATGTGGTAGTTGCTGCTTTTGTTTAGTTATTTGTAATATAAGCTTTGCTTCTTTTCCTAGGGAATCTTGGACTTTTTAAAAAAATGTTATAATTGATTTTTAGAGAGAGAGGAAGGGAGAGGGATAGAGAGATAGAAACATCAATGCTGCCTCCTTGCATGAGCCCTCTCCCCCCCCGCCCCCACTCCCCCGGGGATCGAGGCTGCAACCCAGGCCTGTACCCTGACTGGGAATTGAACTGTGACCTCTTGGTTCCTGAGTTGATGCTCAACCAGTGAACCACATTGGCCAGGTGGGATCTTGGGCTTTTGAAAATCCCTATAAAAAAAATTTGCCAAAGCTCTTAAAATTAAGCCTTGATTTTTGTGTTTCCTTTTTCCTCTTTGATGGCCTAGGTCTTTAGTCTTCTTAGGAAGCAGCTTGCAAAAAAAGGCAGTTCGAGTTCACTATGTTTTTCTGGACATTTAAGTTGTCTTTTGTTTTTTCCTATCCTCAGTGGAAAAGGCTAGGACCCAGTGTTTTTAGCTCTGGGACAGAATAAGGTTGTCTATTTTATCATGGGTTTGTGTTAAACTTGACCTGTGTATTAATGTTATAGTGTATTCTGGTTATAGCGAGTTAGTAATATATAATTTTTGTTTTCCTTGTGTAGATGGTTCCCACAGAACTAGTAGAAAAGGAATTTTGGCGGCTGGTGAGCAGCATTGAAGAAGATGTTATTGTAGAGTATGGAGCTGATATTTCCTCAAAAGACTTTGGAAGTGGATTTCCTGTAAAGGATGGTCGGAGAAAGATGCTGCCAGAAGAAGAGGTACATAACAGATAGTAGTCTAAATTTCTCCTCACCCCTAGCTGATTAGTTCTTTGCATAGTAGAAAACTAGCTTTCTCATTAATCATAAGGGACCATGTTTGTTTAAAATATTAAATATGTAAGATTTGGACAATATACTCTTCAGTTAAAAAAAATTCAAAGTACCTTTAAATATTAATTAACTTTGCATTTCAAAACCAATTTAAATGCATGGGTTAGGATTTATGGCTGGCCCATCCCCTGAGTCTCATAGTGCTCATGCCAGAGCAAATCTGTGGCCTTCAACCATGACCTGACCTTTGCCCGTAGGCTGCTTCTACACAGTAGAAGAAATAAAAATAAAAACCAATTCAACTAGTTTAAAACTTCAACCCCATTTAAATAATTTTACCTTTCTGTTTGAAAATCTAGATGGTGATTTAAGATTTTTAAAAATAATTTTCATAGATAGGTCTGCTATTTAGTTTCCTTCAATGCCTGAGGAGATAGGATTTCAAATATGCATTTAAATTATAACATAATAAAGTCCCATCACATAGGAGATGACCTCTATGTAGACAGCTGAATTAAGATGATCATTTATTTCCTTTTCTCTCTACTTTTGTCCTTGTCACTTTCCCTCTGTAATTGGCAGTAAGTAGAAGTTTTATCTCCTATTAAAAGAGTTATACAGAGTTTTTTTTTAAAGTTACATCGTGCAGAAGGATTTACAATGAAAAGTGTAGTTCAGCTCTCTCTGTGTGTTTAAAATATATTTTTATTGATTTCATAAAGGAAGGGAGAGGGAAAAAGAGATAGAAATGTCAATGATGAAAGAGAATCATTGATCAGCTGCCTCCTGCATGCGTGCGTGCCCCCCCGCCCCCCACAGGATAGAGCCCACAACCCGAGCATGTGCCCTGACCGGGAATAGAACCGTGACTTCCTGGTTCATAGGATGAAGCTCAGCCACTGAGCCATGACAGGCCACTTCAGCTCTCTTATACTATTTACATGGTGTATCTTTTATTTCTTTTATTGTAAGCCATCTTTCTTGTAGCCAGCATGTGATTGGATCTTGAAATCTAGTCTGATGTGGTCTTTTTATTGTGGAGTGTTTAGTCCATTTTACATTTAATGTAATTATTGACATGGGTTTTTTTTAAATTATTTTTTCACTTTTTTAAATATATTTTTTTTTCTTTATTGATTAAGGTATTACATATGTGTCCTTATCCCCCCCACTGCCCCCCAAATGCCCCTCGCTCATGCCCTCACCCCCCCCAGTGTCTGTGTCCATTGGTTATGCTTATATGCATGAATACAAGTCCTTTGGATGATCTCTCCCCCTTCCCCCCACCCTCCCCTGCCTTCCCTCTGAGTTTTGATGGTCTGATAGATGCTTCTCTGACTCTGGATCTGTTTTTGTGCATCAGTTTATGTTGTTCATTATATTCCACAAATGAGTGACATCATGTGATATTTATCTTTCTCTGACTGGCTTATTTTGCTTAGCATAATGCTCTCTAGGTCCATCCATGCTGTTGCAAATGGTAGGAATTCCTTCCTTTTTACAGCAGCGTAGTATTCCATTGTATAGATGTACCGCCATTTTTTAATACACTCATCTGCTGATGGGCACTTAGGCTGTTTCCAAATCTTAGCTATTGTAAATTGTGCTGCTATGAACATAGGGGTGCGTATATCCTTTCTGATTGGTGTTTCTGTTTTCTTGGGATATATTCCTAGAAGTGGGTTCACTGGGTCAAATGGGAGTTTCATTTTTAGTTTTTTGAGGGAACTCCATACTGTTCTCCATAGTGGCTGCATCAGTCTGCATTCCCATCAGCAGTACAGGAGGGTTCCTTTTTCTCTGCATCCTCGCCAGCACTTGTCCTTTGTTGACTTGTTGATGATAGCCATTCTGACAGGTGTGAGATGGTACCTCATTGTTGTTTTGATTTGCATCTCTTGGATGATTAGTGACTTCAAGCATGTTTTCATATGTCTCTTGGCCTTCTATATGTCCTCTTTTGAAAAGTGTCTATTTAGGTCCTTTGCCCATTTTTTGATTGGATTGTTTATCTTCCTTTTGTTAAGTTGTATGAGCTCCCTGTAAATGTATGTATGACATTAAACCCTTATCAGAGATAACACTGGCAAATATGTTCTCCCATGCAGTGGGCTTTCTTGTTGTTTTGGACATGGTTTATTTATGGTCTGCCATCTTGCTACTTTCTATGTATGCTGTCTTTTTGTTCCTGTTTCTCCTTTATGATTATTTTTGTGTTGAGCAGATATTTTTCATAATACCATTTTAATTCCTTTGGGGTTTTTTTGGCTATATATTTTGAGTTACTGATTCTAAGAATTACAATATGTAGGTTTTTTTTTCTTTTTAAACTTTGACACTGTACATCTTTAACTTATCACAACCTACTTCATGTTCATATTGACTTAATTCTGATAAACATAGCAACTTTGAAACAGTGTCTCTTCATTTCCTGCTCTCTTTTGTGTGTTGTATATTGTATGTACATAGTGTATAAACACAACACAGCAATATAATTATTGCTTTAAACAACCTTTCTTTTTTAAAGTAAGAGAAGAAATACGCTTCTTTACATATCTACTGAGATATTTACTATTTCTGGTTCTCTTCATTCATTCATTTTTAAAAAAAGACTTTTTTATTGATTTTTTTAGAGAGAGAAAGAGAGAGAAACATCATTCAGATGCCTCTTGCACACCCCCCTGTTGAGGATTGAGCCCGCAACTTAAGCATGTTCCCTGACCAGGAATCAAACCAGCAACTTTTCTGTGCATGGGACGATGCCCAACCAACTGAGCCACACCAGCCAGGACTCTTCATTCTTGTAGATCAAAGTTACTATTTGGAGTCATTTGCTTCTGACCTGGAGGACTACATTTATTTATAGTGCAGGTCTGCTAGCAATGAATTCTTGTAGTCTTTGCTTATCTGGGAATGTTTTTATTGAGTCTTCTTTTGTTTTTCAAGAGCAAATGCTTTTCAATTTGTTTTTGCCTTTGGTCAATTTCTAGTTCTTTAAAATGCTTATTTTGATAATTTTCTCCAAATTATCCTTATTTTCTGTGACGAGGAATTGGGCCAACCCCTTCTGAAAGTCTTTTACAATTAAAAAGTTTCCCTCCCACCCAAATTTACAATTTGACAGAGGAAGATTCTATTTCATCTTCTAGTATATCCTTTCAGATATAGTATATCTATACAAGCAGTTATATATCATGCATATATAATTACACAATCCTTTAAAACAGAACTGGGAGTATATTACTTACAAGATTCTATACCTGATAAGAATTCTGTTTTTGTGTTGAAGGTTAGAATAAGAGAACCCATTTATCACAAAAGGATTGTAAGGACTTCTTAGAAAAATGTGTATAAAATCTTCAGACTTTTTATACTTTTATTTTATGTCAGTTTGTTACTCTCCTCTGAAAGTGACTCTACTAGAATAATAGATAGATAACTACTAGTATTTCACCAGGAATTGTACATTTGTGTTAAACTTCTGTATGAGTTATCCTTTTGATATCTAATAGCATGCGTCCCTGGTGTCATAGCTTAGTGGAAAAATACTTTTGAAGTTAATACATTTGTCTTATGAATACAGTGTGTTCTATAAACAGGGCTTTTGAGGAATAAAGATAGCATAGAACTTAAAACCTTGGGAATATTGTTCTTATCCTCATTCCATATTAAATCATTGAATCCTGTTAATTCATTTTTCATTATTTTTTATAGGATTGGCCTCTTTTCATTCCCACTACTACCATCCTTGTCTTGGTCATATCACATCATGTTGGGATGTTTGCCATGGCCTTACATAATGACCACTCGTGTGTTGGGGGTTCCTAAGACCATCTCCAGGTTCAGTGATTTTCTAGGAAGACTCATGGCTATGATTTTTACAGTGAAAAGGGTACAAAGTATAATTAGCAAAGGGAAAAGATGTGTGGTCAAAGTCCAGAGAAAACCAGGTATAAGCTTTCAAGAGTCCTCTCTTAATGGAGTCACTCACTTATGCACTTAGTTACTTCAGTATCAGATTGACAAGCAGTGAAGTATTGCCTACCAGGAAGCTCATTAGAGAGTCAGTGCTCAAGGTTTTTATTGGGGGCTGCGAACTAGGCACCTCCTGCCTAACACATCCAAAAATTCCAGAACCCTGGAAGGAAAGCAAGTGTGTATAAACCACGTTGTAGGCCCTGTGAGTCACTTGATCAGTGTAGGGCAATGATCGGCAAACTGCGGCCCGAGAGCCACATGTGGCTCTTTGGCCCCTTGAGTGTGGCTCTTCCACAAAATACCACGTGCAGGCACGCATGTACAGTGCGATTGAAACTTCATGGCCCATGCGCAGAAGTCGGAATTTTGTGGAAGAGCCACACTCAAGGGGCCAAAGAGCCGCATGTGGCTCGTGAGCTGCAGTTTGCCGACCACTGGTGTAGGGGAACTGTTTACCATGCAAGTTTTCAGATGCCGACTGAGGGCCAACCTTTAAGCAAACCCTTTGAAGGAAAGCAGTTGTAGGCTTGCTATGTTAACTATTTTTTGATTACTGCTTTTTTCTGCAGGCTTTTTCATGTTTTAATTTTACTTAAAATTTTAAGATTTTGATATCTTTGGGAATTGATTATCTAAATCTGTCTACTTTTGTTTATATTGAAATTTTCTATAATCAAAAGTTTAAAAATGTTTAAAATGCATTGTTCCCCCTTTTGAATGTAAGATTAAATTCCGGGGTTCTTAGTTTGAAACTTAAGACTAAAGATCCAATCTTTTTTCTAAGTCTTATTTCCTGTATTACTGAGTATGACTATTCTACTGCCCTTTCATCAGCCAGACCAGTATATTTTGTCTACCTTCAAATCTTACCTATCCTTTCAAGTTCTACTCAGGTTTTTCATTTTCCATGAATTTTTCTTAACAATCCAAACCCATGATGATAATATTTTGTTGTCCTCTGAAGAACTATAGAATTTACTCTCTTGTCTGTATTTGGAGTTTAATATATTTGCCTTGTCTTGGAACTTTTGTATGTAGGCCTTGTCTTTTCAACTAGATTCATTATTTTTTCAGCCAACCAGCTAATCAACTAAAAACATATTGAACAGTATTTTGGAAAGCCTCTCTCTCTCTCTCTCTCTCTCTCTCTCTCTCTCTCTCTCTCTCTTTAAAGCATTTTGAGGGTAAGAATCATATCTCTTTATTATTTTTTATTGGAATTCTAGTTAAACCTATGTTGAATTTTCTTATTTTATCCTCTGTGTTTCTTTTTTAAAAAAAATAAGAATTTATTGATTTTAGAGAGAGAGGAAGAGAGAAGGAGAAAGATTTAGCGAAACATCTTTTTGTTGCCTCCTGCAATGCTCCCTACTGGGGCTCGAGCCCCTTTGCCCCCCATGTGCCATGACCGGCTATCAAATCAGTGACCTTTTGGTGCATGGGACAATGCTCAACCAACTGAGCCACACTGACCAGGGCTTCTCTGACTCTTACTTACACTTTTATAGTTTTCATATCTATGTGCTGCATTACGGATGAAATCCTCAAATCTATTTAGTTTACAGATTTTCTCTTCAGCTTTGTCATTAGCTGTTTAACTTCTTACATTGAGGGTTTAATTTTTAAACCCTGTATTATAGGAACTCTCAAATGTATAAAAGTAAACGTAATAATGCACTTCCTTCCTTCCATCCAGGTTCAGCAGTTATCAACCTTCCAGTGGAAGGCAATTGGATTCTGCTATCTGTTTCTATATTCAATTATTGCGATATCACATATCATATATCCTCTGGAAAACTCACACTACATTCCTTTTAGAATGATAGTGAAAAAGGCAAATAACATCTTAGAATTATTATGAAAATAGTTTGAGTTTCTGGATCCCCTGAAATAGTTAAGTCTTTACCTCATATGGCTTTAGGGTGGGTGTTTGAAACTCAGTGCCTAGTGCTTATATTCAGTTAGAAACTTCTATGAAAAGTCAGGTAACTGCTTTTTTTCATTCTGGCTTTGCTTCCTTTCTTTATTTCTGGAAACTAGAAATTATTTTTTTTCTATTGAATTCATCTATGAAACATGTTTTGTTATAATTTATCTAATAGTCAAATTCAGGGTTATGTATCTCATTATGTCCTCAATATCTGGTACCATTCTAAAAATGTAGTGGTAGACATTTTGGGATGTTCTGCTACTTGGGGATAAAATAGTGACCTATTAAAATTAGTCTCACACCATTTTACTGGTAAGTTGGAGGGAGTAATAAAAAGCCTTATTTATTTTCTTCAGAATGAACCAGAGATATCTGAAATAATTGAAAGGAAATCTAAATACCACGTAGAGAGGAGATAGGATTAAATATTTAGGTATATCAGTTACATGTATGAGAGAGCAAAAAGCACAGATTCTGTGGAGGAGCTTACTGTAAATATAAAAGTTTTACTTTCTTTTTTGAATACTAGTACTCCCTTGAGATTTCTGTTGGCCACTGGTCATCTCTGATCTCTCATTTACATTTTTTTTCTTTATAGGAATACGCACTTTCTGGTTGGAACTTGAATAACATGCCTGTCCTAGAGCAGTCTGTTCTTGCACATATTAATGTAGACATCTCAGGTATGAAAGTACCATGGCTCTATGTGGGAATGTGTTTCTCTTCTTTTTGCTGGCACATTGAAGATCACTGGAGTTATTCCATCAATTATTTGCATTGGTATGTATAATCTTTGTTAACAGCATTCATACTTAGTAACCTTTTGAAGGTTTACTAATCTTAGATTATATTATTATGGAGAGCTGAATTTAAAAGTAGTTTTTATCAAAGTAGCGTCATAGCCCAGTTTGTTGGGCTTTGATCCTATGCGTTGAAGATTGTCAGTTCGATATCTGTTCAGGGCACATGCCTGGGTTGTGGGCTCAATCCCTGGTAGGGGGCATGCAGGAAGCACCCAATCAATGTGTCTCTGTCTGTCCCTCTCTTTCTAAAAGAAAAATCAATAAAAAAATATATTTTTTAAAAATAGGATAATATATTAAAGAGAGAAATACTGTGGTCTAAGGATACAGCATCTTAGACACCTTCCCTTTTAAAGTATGTGCATGCCCAGGAGCTTAGAGTTTTAGACCAAATGATACTTGTTTGGTATACATGAAAATTACTTTGGCATATCTGTTGATATGCAAGGGAGGATGGTCAAAGTTTATATAAAGATCTGATTAAACCTTCCGTATTTGAAAATTTCAAGTGTTTTTTTCCTTTTTATATGACATTTTCTCTAGAAATGCCTGAGTTACATATATATTCATTAAGTTATTTTGTTGAATTTTTTGGTATCTTACCAACAGCTTACTTAGTTCCTTGTCCAGTACTATCTTAACTAAATGATATTTTTCTATTCATATCCAAACTACTACTTAGATCACACTTGCAGTGGAAAACTCAAGTGGTTTTCATGCTCTACTTTATCATTATTCTGTGTAATGTGATAGCTGCTAGCCACATGTGGCTGTTTAATTAAGATTAAGTAAAATAGCCGTGGCCGGTGTTGCTAAGGGGTTAGAGCATTGGCCTATGCACCGTTGGTCAAGGGCACTTGGGTTTTGGGTTCCCTCCCTGCTCCCCAGTTGGGATGGGTTGGGGTGCATGTGGGAGGCAACTGGTTGATGTGTCTCCCATATTGATGTTTCTCTTTCTTCCTCCATCCTTTTCTTTCACTGTCTCTAAAAAAAGGAATGGAAAAAATATCTTTTGGTGAGAATTAATAACAAACAAACAAACAAAAAAGATTAAGTAAAATAAAAAATGTACTTCCTTAATTGCACTAACCACATTTCAGGTGCTTTATAGTCACATGTGACTAGGGGCCCCTGTATTGGCCAGTACAGATATAGAATGTTTTCATTATCATAGTAAGTTCTATAAAAGATGGCACTGTGAATTGTATTGGGATTAAGAAATTGAGCTATTCTATAAATAGCATGAGAAAATTAAATCCATTTCCTAAGAGTACAACTTGGTATTATAAATGAACTCTAGTGTACTAAAGTCTAGTACATTAATGATGGCAAATTTTTGGTCCTTAAGATTTCTAGATAGAAGGTTTCATCAATTTCTAGCCTTATTTCCTTGGATAGTAAAGTTGAACTCAGTGAAGTTATGTAAAGGTATTCTAGAAAGCATTGACTTTTACTTTCATCATTATGGGAATAATTAGAGTGTTCAGTGGACCTGTGAATTGAGGTATGTCAGTGTCCTTTGAAACAGTGTGTCCTTCTCACGTAGCATCTTTCCTGTTTGAAGATACTATTTACTGATGCACCTTAAAGAGTTCATATGTTTTGGAATCACTTTTTTAACAGTGATAAGTGTCTATCTATTATGAACAGTAGTGCAGGGTTATGAGATGGTTGCCAGGATTCATGGCTTATAGTCTGTGGCCATAAAATAAGACTGTTAACTATAATTTAGTGGATTTGAATCAGAGACCCTGGCCTCATTGGCACCATGCTCTACCTGGCTAAACAGTTAATTTCTTTTGCTAGGGGGGAGCCAAAGACATGGTATGGTGTACCATCTCATGCTGCAGAGCAACTGGAGGAGGTGATGAGGGAGCTGGCTCCTGAGTTATTTGAATCTCAGCCTGATCTTCTACATCAGTTAGTCACCATCATGAACCCCAATGTATTAATGGAGCATGGTGTACCCGTGAGTCTTTTTGTGTCTCCCTTTAGTATTTTAAATTAAAAGTTATTTTAGCTTTTGATCAGTAGAGTTGCAGTGCTTTGTTTTATAACTGGAAGTATAAGGTCATGTCATCCTCTAGCTAAATTAGAGTTTGTACTCTGAAGGGACCAACATCTATTAGATTGAGAAAAGGGTGTTTTAAAGTATTAATTATGCTTTATGTATAGCTATCTATTAAAATAGCTTTCTGTTCTCAGTAAACAATTGTATCTGGTTTTAGCAAAAATCTTATATTCTTTACTAGAGGCCCAGTGCATGAAATTCATGCATGGGTAGGGTCCCTAGGCCTGGCCAGCAATCAGGGTCAATCGGGGCCTTCTGGCTGCCGGCCAGGGCCTCCCTTCATTTTGCGCCATCCCCTGGTGGTCAGCACACGCCATAGTGAGCAATAGAGCTCCTGGTCTCCTGGTCAAACTCCTGCGGGGACACTTTGCATATTAGCCTTATATCCTATATAATAAAAGGATAATATGCAAATTGACCCTAACAGTGAACGACCGGGAACCACCAGTCACTATGATGCGCACTCACCACAAGGGGGTAGACACTCAATGCAGGAGCTGCCCCCTGGTGGTCAGTGCGTTTCCACAAGGGGAGCGCCGCTCAGCCAGAAGCTGGCTCATGGCTGGCCAGTACAGCAGCAGTGGCAGGAGCTTCTCCTGCCTCCACAACAGCACTAAGGATGTCTGACTAAGGGCTCGGGCCTAAGCCGGCAGGTGGACATCCCCTGAGGGCTCCCGGACTGCCAGAGGGATGTCTGACTGCCAGCTTAGGCCCGATCCCCCCCAGGGAGCCTTCAGTTGGACATCCCCCGAGGGGTGGCAGTCCGGGCTGAGGGGATACCCCACCCCCGAGTGCGTGAACTTTCGTGCATTGGGCCTCTAGTATGTATAGATTATCCCTATTTAACCAAAGTTTAAATATTTTAAGTGGTAGTTCTAGTAACTAATGCTTATTCTTTTGGATATCATATTTATTATAAAGATTTCACAGCTTTGTTTTCTACATGCTGTGATTCTACTTTTCAACTTAGTTTTGAAAATTATTATTAAATTTAAGCTACTAGCACCTGATAAAGTATAAATTTGATAAGTTTGCTATAGTCAGTCAAATATTCATCAAACCTTAATGAGACTAGATTAGTGGGAGTGTTACTTTGTCCTTATGAGTGAATTTATATTAGAATCTGGGGCTTTTAAAAAGATTACAGAATGAAGTGAGATTTAGAAAAACTGATTTTGGGGATATCTCCATATTTATATGAGATAATCAATTAGACCAGTTCCAAAAAATTATCCAAGAGTAGGAGGAAGTTCTATCCTTTACCTCTATTTACAGCACAAGAATAAAAGGAATTAAGTCCTCTTAAATGTAAAATTTTATCAAGTTACTGGAAACTAGTAGCTTAATGAGAATAACATTTTCTCTTTGAGAATTCCTTTTGGCTGCTAATTTTTGTCATGAATTATTATAATTTTGTTATTAGTCACTGCTATTACTTTAAGAAGGTGGAATTCTGGCTGCTTCTTAAACCTGATACTGTTTTCTAGTGTGTGTAGGTTAATTCTTTATTGTTTTCAATTTTAGAAAATGCTTCTGAAACTGACTGATCAAATCTGTCTCCCTTTTTTGCTGTTTTTATTTTGGTTTGTATCACTATTTTGAATTTGCATTTAGGTGTACAGGACCAATCAGTGTGCTGGAGAGTTTGTTGTGACGTTTCCTCGTGCCTATCATTCTGGATTTAATCAGGGCTACAACTTCGCTGAAGCTGTGAACTTCTGTACTGCTGACTGGGTCTGTTCTATAGCAAGTAGCTGTTGTACGTCTACTAACATCCCTGGAAAATGCATCTAGTTGCCATATTTCCTTAGATGGGGAGGGGAGGGTTCATGAGTATTTCAGTAGAGACTGGAGTGGCTGTGGTAATTTAGAAAGTTCAGTTAGAGTTTCCATTATGGTTTTTGGAAAATTTTCCAAATTTTTCCATTTGGAAGATTTCATAGTTCTTATTTATTCATTATTTTCCCCATTCTGTTTTAATTTTAAATTGTCAGTTTATATTTTCTGAATTTCTCTTTTCTGAGAGAATATGGTTCCTTAAGTCTTTGCTTTCTCTGAGCACTTTGGGATTTTATAAAGATGACCAGATCTTCTTAAGAATTCTACCATATTTTCAGATATCTAATTCTATGTTTTTATTTTTAAATATCCCTTTATTATTTTCTTCTGGTGGACAATTTGGTGTTTTTTTTTTGTTTGTTTGTTTGTTTTTTTTTTAAATATATTTTATTGATTTTTCACAGAGTGGAAGGGAGAGAGATAGTCAGAAACATCGATGAGAGAGAAACATCGATCAGCTGCCTCCCGCACACCCCCCACCGGGGATGCGCCCGCAACCCAGGCACATGCCCTTGACCGGAATCGAACCTGGGACCCCTCAGTCCGCAGGCCGACGCTCTATCCACTGAGCCAAACCGGTTTCGGCCAATTTGGTGTTTTTATTCTCCCTGCCATTTAATGTTTCTTTATTCTCTTTCCTAAAAAATTATTTTAAAGAGTAACTGTAATGTTGAGGTCTCTATGGACTGAACTTCTTTGTAAATGATAATGCCAATAATTGCTATTTTGTTTTTGTACAAGGTAATATAAAAAATATTCAGTTATAATTATGTCATGTTTGTTGGGGAAAGACTGCAAATTTATAATACAGTCTTTGACTTTGATTTTCTTAGTGATGTTATTTTTCTATCACCTCTCAACATTTTGAAGGATATTCTTTAGTAATATTGGATCTTATACTTTTCTGTGGATACCTTAATTTATTAAATTTCATGATTAATCATTTTTGTTTTATTGGCTAGTGAATGAAATGATATAATGAACAATCTTATTTGATCTAATAATTTTAAAATTCTTTCTTATTAGGCTTAGGAAGCAGCAAGAACAAGACCAAATTTAGGACTTTGCCTTGGGTTTGAGCTCTACTTAAAAAATTACTAATACTTATTAACTGTTTATGATTTACTTACTCCTTGGTTAGGTGTAGGGTGGGCAATGGAGATGATTCAGAGATTAGTTAGAGATGGTTTCTGCCTTTAATTTGCTTTAAAAAAATGTTTTTATTGATTTTAGGTGGGGGGGTGGAGAGAGAGAGGAAGGAAGAGATAGAAACACCCAGGAGAGAGAAATATCATTGATCGGCTGCCTCCTGCAAGCCCCCTACTAGGGATTGAACCGTGACCTCCTGGTTCATGGGTTGACTCTTAACCACTGAGCTACACTGGCTGGGTTAATTTGCTTACTTTTATTGTTATTTGGCATTGGGCAGCTTTTTAAATTTCACTGGACCTATGTATGTAAAGATGCTAAAATTTACTTAATAAAATCACACATGTGAAATGATATACGTGAAGGCTCTTGATACTCTTTAGAAGAAGGCTGTGATGTAAATGTTCAAATGGAGTTTGTTATTCTGCCTTCTTTATAATAAAAAAGAGGATCTGGAGGGTAAATAGTGGTTCTGTTCTGGAATATGCTATAAGCAAGTAATTTAAGAATCTTGTCTTGTTTTCAGTTGCCCATTGGGCGTCAGTGTGTCAATCATTACCGACGGCTAAGGCGCCATTGTGTCTTTTCACACGAGGAACTCATTTTCAAAATGGCAGCAGATCCAGAATGCTTAGATGTGGGGCTGGCTGCAATGGTGTGCAAAGAATTGACTCTGATGACTGAAGAAGAGACACGATTAAGAGAGTCTGTTGTACAAATGGTGAGCACATGTCCGGTACTTGATATTGTTCATGAAATAGAAAAAAATCGAACCTATAAAAAAGTATCGTTGCTGATCAAGTTCATGCTATCATGTTGATGGTGTATCGCAATGGAGATGGCTTCTTCCAACAAGACAATGCGCCATGCCACGGTGCTCGTATTGTGCAGGAGTGATTTCAAGAACATGAGGGAGACTTTACCTTGCTTAGGTGGCCCCCACAATCACCAGATCTCAATCCAATTGAGCATTTGTGGGACGAAATTAAAAGAGCCATCAGGCAGCTGGTTCCACAACCATCAAATCTCACAGGACTGGACAGTGCTATTCATCAGGCATGGTGTCAGATTCCTCGCATCACCTTTCAACATCTCGTGGAGTCAGTGCCAAGAAGAATTGCCTCAGTATTGAAGGCAAAAGGTGGCCCAACGAAGTACTGATGGGGTGGTCATAATAATCTGGCCACTCATAGTGTGTGTGTGTGTGTGTGTGTGTGTGTGTGTGTGTATCCCATGTTCAAAGGCTGTTAAATCACATTATTTACCCATATCTTCAGGAAAAAAATCACTTCTACTGTCGTAAACAACCTGCTTCCCTATTTATAATGGTCTGGCCCTCTAGCAACTTCAGTATGAAATTATAGCTAATTTGCCTACAAATGTCAGGTGGTCTTAATAATCTGGTCACTCAGTGCATATTAAATGGAAGTCTTTATAAAATGCCACTTTAAATGTTTTTATTTTTTTAAACTGCATGCTGATTAACTTTCTTTTCTTTTTTATTTTTATTTTTTATTGATATTAGAGAGAGAAGGGGAGAGAGAGAAAAACATCTCCCATCGATTGGTTGCCTCCTGTACATTTCCTCGGCTGGGAATCGAACCCACAATCTTCTGGTGCATGGGACACACTCTAGCCAACTGAGTCACACCGGCCAGGGTGATTAACTTTCTTTTTGCTACCTTTCTGAAGTAGATTACATTTTGATTTGCGCAATTTAAGTAATTTTATACTTCTTTATCCTTGCATATGTTTGCACATATCAGCATTATTTTCAGATCATAGATTATTAATGTATCTGGTTCAAAGACATACTGTCCATGGGGACAGTAATTTTTTCTTATTTTAAAGAGAACATAAACATATGGCTTTATGAGTTGTTACACGGTAAACTTTGTTGTTATCAATTCTGGTCAAGAAATAAAACTTTGTCAGACACTCAAAAGTATCTCCCAATTACAACTTCCCTGACTGTTTTGACCTTTGTAGTAATAACTTCCTTGCATTTTAAAAATAGTTGTATCAGTCAGTCAAATGTACATTCTTAGATACCAAGATTAAGTCCTGCTCACTTAAAAAAAATTACTAATGATTATTTTTAGAAAGTATTTTGATGAAGTGCCATTGTACCTCCCACATTTATATCTTAAGCCAGAGATTTACCCATAGAAAAAAATTTAGGCACTGGCTGGTTGGCTTAGTTGTTTAGAGTGTTGTCCCAAGAATTCACCAAGGTCGTGGGTTTGATCCTTGGTCAGGGCACATGAGAATCAACCAATGAATACATAAAAATGTGTAACGACAAATTGATGTTTCTCTCTCTCTCTCACCACCTCTCTTTCCTTTCCCCTCTCTCAAATCAAAAGATAAAAATTAAATTAAAAAAAATTTTTAAAGTAGGTTCTTCGATGCCTGAAAGACTAGAAAGACTTGATCTTATGACATTAATTATATTTCAGGGTGTCCTGATGTCAGAAGAAGAAGTGTTTGAACTTGTTCCTGATGATGAGCGACAGTGTTCAGCATGCAAAACCACATGTTTTCTCTCTGCTCTCACGTGCTCCTGTAATCCTGAGCGGCTTGTGTGTTTGTACCATCCAACTGATCTGTGCCCCTGTCCCATGCAGAAGAAATGTCTTAGGTATCCAGAAGTTTCTCGTTAAACTTCCATTACCCTCTTTTAAAACCAAGGATTAATGTTGCTCTTTTTGTAATTCCTTTCCCTGTGTCTGGGCTGGTAATTCTACCTTTCTGCTTGAGAACCAGTCCTTTAAAGTTGGCCCTAAACTTGGGCAACTAAAATTAGTTTCTTTATCAGTTGATTTCACATCTTTTTTATCTGTGGTTTCTCTGATTTCTCTTTATGTGTACCAAGACCCCATTCCTCTGGCCATTATACTTTACTTAAGCTGATTGTACTTAAAATTAAATTTACTTTCAAGTTGTTGGTTTTTGAAGTTTTTATTTCCATGTTGTTTTGTTTTGTTTTTAGATATCGCTACCCATTAGAGGACCTCCCTTCTCTGCTATATGGTGTGAAAGTCAGGGCACAGTCCTATGACACTTGGGTCAGTCGAGTTACTGAAGCATTATCTGCCAACTTCAACCACAAGAAAGGTTACACTGAAATTGTCATTTTGAAAGAGGCCTTTTTTAATGTGTTTTTCCTTCATTAAGCAAAAATCCTAGGCTTTGTATGAGATTTGAGACTAATGGGTTGGTTGATTATAGTCTTAGTTTTCTGTTTGAGAATCTTTAAGTGAAAAAGTTGATGTAAAATGGGATAGATGACTAACTTGCAGTAGATATATGTTTTGAAGAGCCATTGTTACCAGTAGACCTAACATTAAAGGTTTATTGAGAAAGAAAAATTGCCTTACCTGAGAGACATTATAAGAATTAGGAATGTGCTTTTATTGCATTAGTGATGTTCTCTCACAGCTGTAGTAGGTGTTTGCTGTTAGGTTGATGATTCACTTGAGAGAGGTTAAGATTTACAAGTCACTTTTTATGTCTATGGACATAGTATATGGCTTTTTTATTTATTTTTACAGATTTGATTGAATTACGAGTAATGCTGGAAGATGCTGAGGATAGGAAATACCCAGAGAATGATCTCTTTAGAAAACTCAGGGATGCTGTAAAAGAGGCTGAGACCTGTGCTTCTGTGGCTCAACTGCTTCTAAGCAAAAAGCAGAAACACAGGTAAGACTAAGAAGAGTTGAATTCTTTAATGGTTTCCTTTTTTTTTCTTCCCAGAGTAAAAGCCAAAATGTCAACTTGCTTTTGAGGTTCCTCATCAGCTTTGACCTTTTCTGTCCATGTCCCTCTCTCCTCCAATAATGCCCTAATCTTATGTCCTACTACTTCCTTTCTTGCTTGCTTCATTTTGCAACCCTCTTCCATTTACTGTTCATACACACCAGAAGTGTTCCTGCTTAGTGCCTTCACACCTGTCTTCACTCTGTTTTGAGTTCTCTTCCCCTGATATCCAGATGTCTTGTCTCCATACTTATTTCAAATCTTTTTCAGATGTCACATTCTTGTAGAGGCCTTCTCTGACAGCCCTTTATAAAATTGCAACCTTCTTATGCTTCTGCTTTATTTTTCTCCTAGCCCTGTCACCTCCTGATACACTAATTTTCTTATTGTATTTATTGTCTATCACCTTTCATTCCCAACTAGAATGTATGTTTTTTCATTGCTATATATTTTTTCATTGCTATATTTCTTGTGCTTAGAACAATGCCTGACACATAGTAGCTGTGCAATAAATATTTGTATGTAAGTAAATAAATAATACGATAGGCTGAAGGCAGATGGCAGCAAAGGGTAACCTTGTGGGATTCAGTGGAAGCTTGTTATTAAGGTGCACAAAAGCATTTGCCCTTGATTTAGTGTAATTGTGTTACATTTTCTGTAGTATTTCATATTCATTCTAACACATTCTTTGTGTCTGAATGGTTTTCTCTGTAGCAATTTACATTGGGTTTTAAATTATTGTGCACCTTTTATCTACCATTTTATCAGAAAGCCTTTCTTAGAGACATTGATCAGCAGGTCTTCACTTTGTAGCCCTCTTGGGTCACTGACTCCCTTAGAAAATCTGGTGAAAGCTTAGGAGCCCCTCCCTCTTTTTTTTTTTTTTTTTTTTAAGAAAATATACACACAAAATTGTGAATGAGCTTCAGAGGGTTTATTGTTTCCTAAGCCAGGTAAATTGCCCTTGTTCCTCACCTTAAGCTTCTTGAGATAGAGGATTTGGTTTTATCAGTGACCTTAATATTTTACTGTGAAGAACTTATTGAATGTTTAAAATATTTAGTACTTGTAAGATTGGAGGAACTAGAACTTGGAGAGTTCAATCTTTGAGCCATTAACTATAGAGCTAAAAAACCTAATTTGGAAGTGATCATCACCATTGCAAGTGGAATCGTCAAACATAGTATTCTGGGATTGCTTGGGTGAGAATTATAAAGAGATTAGAGGCCCTTTTGATATCAGAATAACTGAATTTTTCTTACTTATGTCTTTATATTATTTTACATCAGGCAGAGCCCTGATTGTGGGAGGACTCGGACCAAACTGACAGTGGAAGAATTGAAGGCCTTTGTCCAACAACTTTTTAGTCTTCCATGTGTCATCAGCCAAGCTCGACAAGTAAAGGTGAAATATTACATTCTTTAATTGGGTAATATCTTTTGTAGTATGGGCTACAATTTTGGGTAAACAGAATAGTGTGTCTAGACTAGTTTTTTGTTTTCTTTTCTTACGTAAGTGCTGCTATTTAAGTTTTTTTTAGTGGGCAGTAAGGATGTCTTGGTTTCATTCTTAATTGTAATTCCCACTTTTAAATTCTGGAATTAAAGCTAGTTCAGAATTTTTTTTCTGTATTAAATTTAGGTCAGAAGCCCCATTAAACTTAGATGTAATTGAAATGCAAGAAATTACTTAAAATAACCTGAATATATAAGTGAATTATTAGTTCATGACTTTTAAAAAATGAAGAGCTCTGACGTTATCAGAGCCCTGATGGTTTAATGACAATGTGAAGTCAAATATATTAAGTAGTATATTTCAAATATATTACTCCGCACAGTTAGTAATCTTTTGATAGTTTGTGTTTTTTTGTGATTTGGCTGTGGGTAGAATATCTAAAATGTTTTTTTTGTGAAATCTCATATCAATAGTGTTTTGTCTTACTCCAGTTTGTAAAAGCATTTTGATAATTAAACATACTTTCCTTCCTGAGAGATTTTCTTTTGATTTAAAACAAAATGTTTTTATTGATTTGTTTATTTTTTTTTAAGAGAGGAAGGAAGAGGGAGAGAAAGTTAGAAACATCAGTGAGAGAGAAAAATCACTTTGATTGGCTGTTTCCTGCATATCCCCCTGCTGGGGATCAAGCCTGCCACCTGGGCATGTGCCTGATCAGGAATCGAACCGGTAACCTTTTGGTGCTTGACCCAACGCTCATCCACTGAGCCACACTGGGTCAGCCCTGAGAGATTTTCTTATTTAAACATCTGTGACACTGTATTCTTTGTTTTTCTTTCTTTTCTTTTTTTTTTAATTAAATCTTTATTGTTCAGATTATTACATTTGTTCCTCTTTTTTCCCCCCCATAACTCCCCTCCTCCCAGTTCCAGCCCCACCCTCCGCCCTCACTCCCCACCCACTGTCCTCATCCATAGGTGCACGATTTTTGTCCAGTCTCTTCCCGCATCTCCCACACCCCTTCCCCCCCCCCAAGAATAGTCAGTCCATTCCCTTTCTATGTCCCTGATTCTATTATAATCACCAGTTCATTCTGTTCATCAGATTATTTATTCACTTGATTCTTAGATTCACTTGTTGATAGATGTGTATTTGTTGTTCATAATTTGTATCTTTACCTTTTTCTTCCTCTTCCTCTTCTTAAAGGATACCTTTCAGCATTTCATATAATCCTGGTTTGGTGGTGATGAACTCCTTTAGCTTTTCCTTATCTGTGAAGCTCTTTATCTGACCTTCAATTCTGAATGATAGCTTTGCTGGATAAAGTAATCTTGGTTGTAGGTTCTTGGCATTCATCACTTTGAATATTTCTTGCCACTCCCTTCTGGCCTGCAAAGTTTCTGTTGAGAAATCAGCTGCCAGTCGTATGGGTATTCCCTTGTAGGTAACTGAGTTTCTTTCTCTTGCTGCTTTTAAGATTCTCTCTTTGTCTTTTGCTCTTGGCATTTTAATTATGATGTGTCTTGGTGTGGTCCTCTTTGGATTCCTTTTGTTTGGGGTTCTCCGCGCTTCTTGGACCTGTAAGTCCATTTCTTTCACCAGGTGGGGGAAGTTTTCTGTCATTATTTCTTCAAATAGGTTTTCAGTATCTTGCTCTCTCTCATCTTCTGGCACCCCTATAATTCTGATGTTGGTACGCTTGAAGCTGTCCCAGAGGCTCCTTACACTATCCTCGCATTTTTGGATTCTTTTTTCATTTTGCTTTTCCGGTTGGGTGTTTTTTGCTTCCTCGCATTTCAAATCATTGACTTGATTCTTGCGCTCCTCTGGTCTGCTGTCGGGAGTCTGTATAATATTCGTTATTTCAGTCCGTGTATGCTTAATTTCTAGTTGGTTCCCCAATATAACATCGAGGGTCTCATTAGTTTTCTTGTAGATCTCATTAAGTTTATCAGCGGCTTCTAAACAGTTCTTGAGAGACCTTAAAAGTGTGGTTCTGAACTCTATATCTTCCATTGACAATTTTGTCCTGTTTCTTTGTCTCCGCATTTTGTTATGCTTCCTTGGTGCACCCCCTAGTGGTCTTTGTGCGCAGTCTTATAGTTAAACCTTGATTGTTGTAGCTAATACCAGGGAGGGTTTGACCTCCAGGCCAAGTGGCTATGAGAATCAGCTGTATCTGCAGTGAGAGAACTTCTGTCCTCTAGGGAGGTGCTAATCTGGCGTTTGCCTGAGGCTATCCGGCAAATGCCTCTGTGCAGGGCTTGGGCGGGGCGGGTCGCACAGGATCAACAGGGTGGGCCGGAGAGAGCAGTTATGGCGGCTCTCAGTCCTGTCCCCAGGGGCTCTGCCTCTCTGAGTCCCAGCACTCGCTGCAAACCTCGGAGAGAAAGCTGCACTCGCTCTGACTGAAGCCAGACAGTCCCGCTTCTCCCATTTGAGTCTGGTTCCCTAAAGACTCGCCCGTATCTGGAGCTCAGAGTCTGCGACTCCCTCCCGATTGAAAACGCCAACCACCCCCTCCGCTGCCAGCCCGCTCCACGCACTCCGCACCTCAGAATTTGACTTCAGCACTGCGCCTCCTCTGAGTGTCCGTATGCGTTTCTCTTTCCTCCTAGTTGTAGGACTTCCACTCAGCCAGCGTTCCTGTGGTTCTGGGTGATGTCCATTCCGTTTTTTAGTTTCACTTTTGAAGTAGTTGTTCAAGGCAGCAAACTCCGGCGTTAACCTATGCCGCCATCTTGGTTCCTCCTTTGTTTTCCTTAGGTCATTCATAATTCCTTTTCTTTAGTCTTCTTTGTTGATTGTCTTCTCCTTGGTTTTATTTCTGGTTGTGGAGTATATAAGGAGTCTCAATTCTTTTTTAAATCTTCACCTGAAGATATTTTTTTCCATTGATATTTAGAGAGAAGGGTAGGAAGGAGTGGGACTGATGTGTCTCATATTAGAGACACATCAATTGGTTGTCTCCTGTATGTGCCCTGACTGGGGCCAGGGATCAAGCCAGCAACCCAGACATGTGCCCCGAATGGGAATCAAACCCTGACCTCCTGGTTCATGGGTTGACACTCAACCACTGAGTCGTACCAGCTGGGCATCTCAGCCCTTCTTTTATTCTTTTTTTTTTTTTTTTAAATTTTTTTTTTTTTTTTAAATATATATTTTATTGATTTTGTACAGAGAGGAAGGGAGAGAGATAGAGAGTTAGAAACATCGATGAGAGAGAAACATCGATCAGCTGCCTCCTGCACATCTCCCACTGGGGATATGCCCGCAACCCAGGTACATGCCCTTGACCGGAATCGAACCTGGGACCTTTCAGTCCGCAGGCCGACGCTCTATCCACTGAGCCATACCGGTTTCGGCCCTTCTTTTATTCTTGGTCGTGATCTCTTCTTACTTGCCCAGTCACATTGACATTAAATATCACCTATATTCAGCTGAGTTCCAAATCTCCAACTGCCATTCTTTTTTTCCACAGACTTGACTATCCAGTTGCATATTTTACGCTTCCCTTTGGAAGACTAAAAGGCATCTAAAAGTGTTTTAATGAGTCAAAAATTTTTATTCCTTTATTGCACTTCTACCCCACATCCAATCTCTAAACAAGTGCTACTATTATCTCCAAAATGAATCCCAAAGTAAACCATTTGTCATCAATTCCATTGCTTAAACTGCTCTAAACCACTAGAATCTGTCCTTTAGATTATGACAACAGCCTCTTACCTGATCTCCTTTCTATTCTTGTCCTGACAGTTTGTTTTTCCTTTAGTAGCCAGAGTGATCATGTAAAATATAAATCAAATCACATCAGCCCTGGCTGGGTTGGCTCAGTGGCTAGAGTGTCGGCCTGTGGACTGAAGGGTCCCAGGCTTGATTCCGGTCAAGGGCACATGCTTGGGTTGCAGGCTCGATCCCCAGTAGGGGTTGTGCAGGAGACAGCCGGTCACTGATTCTCATCATTGATGTTTCTATCTCTCTCTCCCTCTCCCTTTCTCTTTGAAATCAATAAAAATATATTTAAGAAATTATAAAAATCAAATCATATCACTTCCCCATGGTTAAAATCCTCCAGTGATTCTCCAAAATCAAGTAATTGAAATCCAGACTCATAATCTACAAGGCACTATGTAATCTGACCTCTGCTTATTCAACTACATTTATTCTTCATCTACTTTGCTCCCTATCATTCACTTTTGAGCACCAGGCTCATTTCTGTTTAAAAGCTATTGCAATTATTATTTGCCCCGCCTGAACTACTCTTTCCCAGCTCTTCATAAGGTTCCCTTATCTGCCTTTTCATTTTTATTTTGGTTCATCTGTCTTTCAGACAACCATTGCAAAGTAATATGCTCCCCTTCTGTTCATTCTCTATTGTTGCCCTATTTTATTTTTATTATTATTATTTTTTATATTTTATTGATTTTTTACAGAGAGGAAGGGAGAGGGATAGAGAGTCAGAAACATCGATGAGAGAGAAACATCAATCAGCTGCCTCCTGCACACCCCCTACTGGGGATGTGCCCGCAACCAAGGTACATGCCCTTGACTGGTATTGAACCTGGGACCCTTCAGTCTGCAGGCCGACACTCTATCCATTGAGCCAAACGGGTCAGGGCTGCCCTATTTTATTTTTATAGCATTTTAAAAAACTCTGACATTTTATTTATGTATCCAGTGACTGGCCACTTATATTGAAATGTATGTTTTTGTAAGACAAGGACTTTTTATGTTTTGTTTAATGCTGTATTTGTTTAGTGCCTGCATTTAAGTCAAAAGTCATTACATATGTTTTAATTAATCATATGTTAAAAGTAGGACTATGTAAGTAATTATAGAGAAGCATATTTATGCCCTTAACTATCATATCCATTTGGTACTATCATGGTGAGATTATTAGATGGTCTAGAATTGATAATTTTGTCTATCAAAACTATGTATTTTATTGCCTATCAGATATGTTTATTATATACACATTTTTTATCTTTTATATTTATTTTTTATTTTTATTCTTTTGGCCTTTTCAGAATCTGCTGGAGGATGTAGAAGAGTTTCATGAACGTGCTCAAGAGGCCATGATGGATGAAACCCCAGATTCTTCTAAACTCCAGATGTTGATAGACATGGGCTCTAGTCTCTATGTGGAGCTACCTGAATTAGCCCGCCTAAAGCAAGAGCTACAGCAGGCTCGATGGTTGGATGAAGTAAGACTGACTCTATCAGATCCACAGCAAGTCACATTGGATGTCATGAAGAAATTGATAGACTCTGGGGTGGGGTTGGCTCCCCACCATGCTGTGGAGAAAGCAATGGCTGAACTACAGGAGCTCCTTACAGTCTCTGAGCGATGGGAAGAAAAGGCTAAGGTCTGCCTACAGGCAAGGTGAACACTTATTGGTGACTGTTGCCTCTATAATAACTAAGCCAGATAATAAAATGGGAGGAGGAGCATAAGGGTCTATTTATTTCAATAAATATTTTGTGTCTTCCCTGACCAATCACTAGGTTATCAAATGAGTCTACATATAGACAGTTTGTAATATTGTGCGCATACTATTTGCAGAGTACTTTGTTAGGTACTTTAAGTGATACAAAATAGTATTTTGTTTAGAGCCTTCCATTACTGATTTTATAGTTAGGAGCTAAGGAATATAAAGCTCATAGCAGTATGTTATTAACTGAGGGGTACAGGAAAGTGCTATAGGAATTCAAAAGAGGAGAGGTCATTGTTAGCTTAGATGATCAAAAGAGAATTTTGAGAGAAATGTAAGAACTGAGAGCCTTGAAAAATGAGTAGGATTGAAGTGGAAGAGGAGGCAAGAGAAATGTCATAAGCTAAGTTTAAGGTATGAGACAAACGTTAAATGGGCTTTTTTGGAGTGGAGGATTTATGTAGGAAAGTAGTGGGAGCCGAAACCGGTTTGGCTCAGTGGATGGAGCGTCAGCTTGCGGACTGAAGGGTCCCAGGTTCGATTCCGGTCAGGGGCATGTACCTGGGTTGCGGGCACATCCCCAGTGGGAGGTGTGCAGGAGGCAGCTGATCGATGTTTCTCTCCCATCGATGTTTCTAACTCTCTATCTCTCTCCCTTCCTCTCTGTAAAAAATCAATAAAATATATTAAAAAAAAAAAAAAGAAAGTAGTGGGAGATAAGAATCAGACATAAGAACGTTAAGCAGTTGCATTAGTGTTGGCATCCCATTTGATTTGTGAGATTTAAGTAAAGCATATTTGACTATATATCAACTAATTTGACTAATGCTCTTTGTGAAAGTCTTTTTTCAGCAGCTAAGATTTATATTTATATAATTTCTACTGTGAATATGAAAAAACTGGGATGCTTAAAACAGAGATCACATAGTTATTAAATAACACAGCTCAAATTTAAAACCTTTTCCACTTTATTCTGAAGTCTCCATGTACTTACTGCTATGCCGGCCACTTATTTTGAATGGATTTGTTAGGAAAGCCTTAGATGATTTAATTAACACAGTTCTGCTCTGCCAAAAAAGGCTCCATATATATTGGATATTTTCCTCTCCAGATGCTATGGAGAATACAAACTATATTTATTTATAGCTTTTCCTATCTAAAATATTCCTGTGCCTTCAGATTCATGACACTTCAGGAAGTGGAAGCATATTAAATGGAAAAAGCTAAATGACTTTGGAATGCAAAATTAGGATTTGGTATATCTGATGCAATTGATCATAGTTGAATGAAATTTGTTTATAGTGATCTTTAAAAACTTAATTTTTTCCCATTTTTCTACATTTAATTAGTCACCAAGTTTTAGTGATTTTCGCCTCTACAATGTCTTTTATATCTTTCTTCTTTAAGTTCCCTGCTCTAAACAGAACCGCCATTCTAGTGGGGAGAGAGTTGAATAGTGAAGGAATGAATTTCAGATATATAGTGTCACAAAGAAAATAAAATTGGTAAAGAAGTAGGGGGTGATGGGGTTGGGGGAATGGTGGGAACTAGAATCTTCCCTTTTCTAACTCTTGTCAAAGTTACCTTTCTGAAACACATTCTTACTATTTTTCATTTCTTAGTACTGGTTAACTACTGACCTTTGTTTTCTTTTTAATTTATTGATTTTTAGAGAGGGGAAAGGAGAGAGAAACATCGATTTGTTGTTCCACTTATTTATACATTCATTGGTTGGTTCTTGTATGTGCCCTGATTGAAGATCGAACCCCTAACCTTGGGGTATTGGGATGATTCTTTAACTAGTTGAGCTATCCAGCCAGGGTCTGATCATTTCTTTAAATATCTTTCTTCTCTCTCTGCCTCTTAAATAATGACTTTCCTCAATATCCTGGCCTAGACTGCTTCTTTTCTCACTTTGTATACCTCTCTGGAAATTTCTGCTAACTTCTTGGCTCCATTTGCCGTCTTTATACTGATTAATTCCAAATTCTCATCTATAGATTTTTTTTCATAGATACCATTTGTCTATTAAATAATTCCGTTGGATGTTCCTCAAATTCCCATATCCAAAATTGGACACATTAATTCCTTCCCATAATCTCTTCCTTTGTTCTCTGAATTATACTATCTTTCACTCATTTGAACAAGTCAGTACTTTGGAAATTAAGTTTGATCCCTGCGTTCTATTTTCTTATCAAATTCAGTTAACTATGAAGTCGTGCTGATTCTAATTCCTCAGTTTTTCACTTTCATTCTTTTTTGTTGGGCTGTTATCATAGCTGATCTGGATTGTAGCTGTAGGTCCTGTCTATGAGCTCACCCCTCTCTAATCCATTCTCTACACTGCAACTAGTATTTCCCTAAAATACAGATGACTATTTGACTCCCTTGCTTAAAGCCTTGTTTCCCATTCCCCTTGGGATGAAGTTCAGATTCCTTAACCTGATATATAAGGCCAGCTATAATCTAGCCCAGCCGTGGGCAAACTACAGCCCGCGGGCCGGATCCGGCCCGTTTGAAATGAATAAAACTATTGAAAAAAAAGACCGTACCCTTTTATGTAATGATGTTTACTTTGAATTTATATTAGTTCACACAAACACTCCATCCATGCTTTTATTCCAGCCCTCCAGTCCAGTTTAAGAACCCATTGTGGCCCTCGAGTCAAAAAGTTTGCCCACCCCTGGTTGCTTTAATATCTTGCCTCATATCTTGCCATTCTTCCACTTGCATTCTAACATAGTGATTGTCCCTGCCTCTCACCATTGCTTCCTCCAATATGCCATGTTCTTTCTCGTCTCTGGACCTTTGCACCTTTTATTCTCCTATGGAACAGCCTTCCTCTGTGCTCATCCCCTGTGGTGTACCTTCACCACCCCCACCCTCCCTTTGGCCCCAGCTTTTCTGACTAACTCCTATTCAAAAAGGATAAGAAAGCTTAGAGGCCACTTCTGGGAATTCTTCCTTCACCTACCAAGTCAATTAGGCCCTCCTATATATCCTGATAGCATCTTTATTTTCCTCTATCATTGTACTTATAGTGCATCTAACTCATTAATAATCCCCTCCTCCACAAGATTAAAATTTTCCATAAGGGAAGGACACTGTCACCCTTGTGCATTAATAATCTCCCAGACCTAGCACAGTGCCTAGTGAAATTCATGGCTCTTAAGACCTCTTAATCTGTTTACATCTTTCTTTCCTGCCAAATCCCCCTACTTCTTGGTTTTACTCTTGCTCACTGCCCCCCCCCCCCACCCCCAGTCTTCACACCATCTCTGATCTTAAACTGAACTACCAACTCATTTTTCAAATGTTTCTCTTTGTCTTTGTTCATTATATTCTTGTGTTTTTTTCTTTAACCTTTTACTTGGCAATATCACAATTCTTCAAGGCTTAACTCAAAGCCCTTCTCAACTCCCGTAGGCAGAATTAATCACTCCCTCCCCTATAGTAATTTGTTCTTAGTTCCCAGTACATGCTTATCTTGTATTCCGACTAGTTGAGGATAAAGGTTTGTTTTGTTCATCTTTGTGTAACTAGATATTATGAATGTAGTTGAATTTAATGTACATAGTCAACATTAATTTCTAGACTATTGTTTCCACATTGCTATTTAATATGCATCTCTGACAGTTTCAGATATTGTGGAGAACTCAGGTAAAGGCAATTTAGTGTAGTGAAGAGCATGTGATTTGAGACATCAGTATTTCAGGTGTACCATTTACTACATGACTTTGGGGAAAATAAATGATCTTTACGCTAAAGGTATCTGTAAAATGGAAATAAAGATAGTAGTTATTTTGCCTCCCTTATAGGATTGTGGTAAGAATTAAATGAAATCATGTATATGAAAATTCTCTACATTCTAAAATGTTATGTAAATGTTGATAGCTGTTTGATTTCTCATGCATCTGCCCTAATTTTTATGTTTTCTTAGACCACGGCACAGCGTGGCAAGTTTAGAAAGCATTGTGAATGAAGCTAAGAACATTCCAGCCTTTCTACCCAATGTGCTGTCCCTGAAAGAAGCCTTACAGAAGGCTCGAGAATGGACAACTAAAGTGGAAGCTATTCAGGTAAGGAGTTTTTTGAATTCTCTTACCATTCAGATAATGCTTTTTCACTAGTGAATCCTTAAAGCATTTAATTTTTTAGAATAGATATATCATAATAAAATAATTACAGTACTTAAAATTCACTTGTTTTTGCAACTGATTTTATAATTCTAAATAAATATTACCGGTTTAAACATTACTTGTCTGTATTGACTCCCTGCTGTAAAAGATGACAGAATGAAGTAAGTGCTAGAGATAAAAGTTTGCTTGAATACATAATATTTCTTCTGAATTATACAAACCATTAGGGCATGCACAGTACTCAGGATATAAGTGCTCTTTCTTATAGAGCTATACTCAAAGGAAACCAACTCTCTTCTACTGAACTGCTGCACAAAGAAAGAACATATTCTAGGTGTCAAGTTCTAATGACTTCTTTTTTTACTTCCTTTTCAGTTGACTTTTTTTCTGGGACCTGTTTAGATGCCTTTCTTTCTATGCTGTTTTTAAAATTATCTCTTACTTCATCAGGAAAGCTCCTCCATTTCACCTTTGACCTATTTCAGCAATTGATTGTCCTTAAATGTCTGATAATCCTTACTTGGCTGTTTATTTATGAAAGAAGGACTTAGTCAAGAAGTACAGGTAGCTATCTTGGTTCCCTCTAATTTTGAAGGACTTTTCCTCCACCAAGCTCTTTCCTTCAGTGGGAGGACTGACTTGTAGACTCTAAATAAGTAGACAGCTCTGTTCACAGGCAAACTCTTCTTTAGGATACATAGCTTGGGAGCAGGCTCTATCTAGGCTTAGCCAGAAGGTATTCTGTAGTCAAATGGCTATAGTTGGCTATAGAGAGATTAGCAGTAATTAAGGTATTTCTTGACCTATCTGTATCTAGGTTTTATCTTTCAATTAGCTGCCTGTTCTTATTCTAACACCATTCAAATTTAATTATACCATCTTAATATCTCAGGATGAGAACCTTATTCTTTTCCAAAGTTTCCTTCATGTTTATTTTTCCATGTTTCAGTATAACTTTCAAAATGAATTTGTAGGCAAATGTGTCAGTTAATACATGGGAAATAACCTTTTAAAATATATATTATTGATTTCTGAGAGGAAGGGAGAGAGAGATAGAAACATCAGTGAGAGAGAATCATTGATTGGCTGCCTTCTGCATGTCCCCCCAACTGAGGATCAAGGGCAACCTGGGCATGTACCCTTGACCAGAATCAATCCCAGGACTCTTCAGTGTTCAGGCTGACGCTCTATCCACTGAGCCAAACCAGCTAGGGTGGGAAATAACCTTTTAATGGAATATCAACATTTAGCACTTAATACTATATCTTTCCTTCATAGCCTCTGAATAGCAATGAATGTTGTGAGATATATACAGTTTCTTATTAGAATGCTAACGTGTTTATCTGCTAGGAGATTCATCCAATCTATGATATCACTTTCAATTAATGTCTACAGGCTGCCAACCCACTTCAGGTGTTCTTAGTAAGACCATACAATGGATTACTTGTTAACTCACATGTTGTGATGATTTAATTATTTAGTGAATTTAAAGTTGTATATAAATTTTAAAAACAATGACATCATTATATGGAAATGTTGAAGCATTGTGGCTTAGAAGGAATATATCCATTCTCATGTGTTTGTATAACATAAAATAGAGGTGGTTATCAGAACTAAAGCAGCATTTTGTAGTTGTTGGAAAAATTGTGAAAGACTTTAAAACAGGCGAAAGAGATTACTGGATGTCTTTTCAGTGGAATATTGGATGTTGTCTAGCGCAGTGGTCGGCAAACTGCGGCTTGGCAAACTGCGGCTCACGAGCCACATGCGGCTCTTTGGCCCCTTGAGTGTGGCTCTTCCACAAAATACCAACTTCTGCGCATGGGCCACGAAGTTTCAATTGCACTGTACGTGCGCGCCCGCATGTGGTATTTTGTGGAAGAGTCACGCTCAAGAGGCCAAAGAGCCGCATGTGGCTCACGAGCCTTGGTTTGCCGACCACTGGTCTAGTGGATCCTTCACAATTATTTATTTATTTATTTATTTATTTATTTTTTTAAATATATTTTATTGATTTTTTACAGAGAGGAAAGGAGAGAGATAGAGAGTTAGAAACATCGATGAGAGAGAAACATCGACCAGCTGCCTCCCGCACATCTCCCACTGGGGATTTGCCCGCAACCTTTTACATGCCCTTGACCGGAATCGAACCCGGGACCCCCCAGTCCGCAGGCCGACGCTCCATCCACTGAGCCAAACCGGTTTCGGCATCCTTCACAATTATTTAATTCTAGGGCTGTATACCTTAAATTATCTTTGATGAAGCTATTTAACAACTCTGTCAATTATTTTAAAATGATAGTGATACAAATGAATTATTTTCATGGAGAAGCAATTACATTTGTCCTTGTATTTGGAACAGTTGATTTCCACACTGTAGAAAAGATCATTCCATTGTCCTGTATGACAGTGGTTGCCAACCGGTGGTCCTCGGACCACTGGTGGTTCGTGAGGTCTGAAAGGTTGGCAACTGCTGGTTTAAGGAAACCTTTCGAGCAATGATTGCCAACCGGTGGTCTGCGAGGTCCGAAAGGTTGGCGACTGCTGCTGTATGATATTAAATATCTGTTTCCATCCATTAGGAAATTCCTTTTCTCATTTCTAATTGCACATATATGTCTGTTCTTACATTGTCCTTTGAACTGGTTTTTATATCTTACTGATCCCCTCATTGATTAATAAAATTAAAATCTTTATGACAACATGAATTTACTTAAAATTAAATTTATTGAGGTGATATTAGTTAATATATCATTTCAAGTGTACAATTCTATACATCATCTGCATGTTGTATTTGCACATACTTTTTAAAAACATTAGTATCTGTTAATTCAAGAGGCACAATTACATTTAAAGAATATTTAATTAAAAGAGTCACTCTAAACTCCATAAGTGAATGCAAATTGTGTGAGGATGTACTTTTGTTTTTCAGAGTGGCAGCAACTATGCTTACTTGGAGCAGCTGGAGAGTTTATCTGCTAAAGGGCGTCCTATCCCTGTGCGTCTTGATGCATTGCCCCAGGTAGAATCACAAGTAGCAGCAGCTCGGGCGTGGAGAGAACGGACTGGGCGGACCTTTCTTAAGAAGAATTCTAGCCATACATTGTTACAGGTAAAGAGTAGTTTAATTTTTGGATACATACTTCAGTCTCCTTATCAGAAGTAGGTAGTAGTATTATTGTTTTCATTTTATCTGGTCATGATTATACAAGTGATTCCTATTAGGTAATATTAAATGTTGACCAGAAATCTGGAGCCTATGACAAAACTTATTTCTGGTTCCCCCTGTGCTGTGTCAATTAGCCTGGATCTTATCTCTGTTATTAATGGATTCTGTCACTGAAAAGATCTTTCTCAGAAGCACAAATTTAAATACTCATTACCCTTTTCATCTTGAGCATTTAAACATACTAGTTGGTCAATATGGCAGCGCAGGTAAACTTGGTACTTGCATGCTCCCACAACCACATTAAATCACAACTAAACTATAGAACAAACATCATTCAGAACCATCTGAAATTCAGCTGAATGGAAGTCCTACCACTAGGGAATTAAAGAAGCCCCATTGAAACTGTTAGTGGGGCAGAAACACAGAATGGGCTGGTCCCACACCCACATGTGTCAGATAAAAATCAGGAGGGATATTTTAGCTGCAGAGGTCCCCACTGAGGAACAAGAGACCCCAACCCACACCAGGTCCCCCAGCCCAAGTTCCAATGCTGGAAGAGAAGTCCTCATAACTCCTGGCTATAAAAAACCAGTAGGGATTGAGGCTGAGGGACATAGAGACTGCTGGAGTCCCCGGCAGTTCCTATTAAAGGGCCCTGCATAAGGACTCACTCAGATTCACTTTCTCTGATTGCCAACATGGGGCAGCAACTTACAGGCTGGAACAAGGAGGAACTGAATTGTTCAGCATCAGGATGAGAGCTAAGGGGACGGGAACTTTCTCCCAGACAGAAGTGCTGGCAGAGGCCACTGTTCCTTTCATCAGCCCCACCCCCGCCAGAAAGCTGGCAGGTGAGCACCATATCTGAGACTTGCATCAGCCTGGCTCACACTGTTTGCCCAATCCTGGTGATTCCCTGAGGCCCCACCCATCTTTTGGTCCCACCCAAGCTGTTTCTTTAAAAAAAATAATAAGTTTATTGATGGATTGATTGAGAGAGAGAGAGATCAGTTTGTTGTTCTACTTATTTATGCATTCATTGGTTGATTCTTATATGTGTCCTGACTAGGAATCTAACCCAAAACCTTGGCATATCGGGATGATGCTGTAACCAACTGAGCTACCTGGCCAGGACCTGAGCTGTTTCCAGTTGCTTTTCCATATGAATGGCCATCTTAGCTCATGTTTCAGATTTTCATGCTTCAGAATTTCCCAAAACAAGCAGCATCTGTCTCTCAGTAAGCTGCACACCTCTCACTAAGTTGGCCCCAGGCATAGTGGTAGCTGGCCTTGGGTCACAGTTTGGAGGGCACTTCCAGACTCAGCACAAGTAGCAACCATCTGTAGATTGCTTTGTAGCTCATACCTGGTGGCCTTTGTAGTTCATGCCCCAGGCAGAGCACAGGCGGCAGCTGATCTTGGCTTGCACCTCCCTGAAGGTCCCAGAGCCAGTGTACCCAGTGGGCAGCTTTTAGGACACATTGAAGCACTACCATCTAACCACCTCAATGAGCAACAAACTTAAGAGGTGGACTCAGCAGGCACCAGAGCCCTGCTGAAGTAAGTCCTACTCTGTGTAGTTGGCCTCTGCATAGCTGATCCTCCATGGTGGTTGGAGGCTAGTGGTCAATGGTTACAGCCAGTCCTTTCAGCTGATCCATCTGAGGATAAGTCACTCCCATTGATGTGCCAACAGCAATCAAGATTCAACTACTACAGGAGGTGTATACAGCCTACACGGGGAATGTACCTCAAGTGCCTAGCTTGGGTGTTCGGGGTGACTGTGCCACTGGACTCTAGAGCAGTGGTCGCCAACCTGTGGTCCACGGGCCACTGGTGGTCTGTGAGGTCTGAAAGGTTGGCGACCGCTGCTCTAGAGAACACTTAATACATTAGGCTACTCTACCAAGCCTGGGAGATGTAGCAGCTCTACCTAATACATTGAAACAACCCCCCCCCCCCCCCCACCACACAAGGACTAAATGCTGCCCAATGCTAGAGCTCAGAGAAAGTTTGTCTCATTTTAGAGGCTGTCAAAATGAGACAAAGAAACATCCCAAATGAAAGAACAGAACAAAACTCCAGAAAAAGAACTAAACAAAATGGAGATAAGCAATCTACTAGATTCATAGTTCAAAATACTCGTTACAAGGATGCTCAATGAACTTAGTGAGAACCTCAACAGCATAAAATAGGACCAGTCAGAAATGAAGTATACACTAACTGAAATGAATAATTTACAAGGAATCAACAGTAGAGTAGATGAAGCTGAAAATCAAATCAGCAATTAGAATGTAAGGAAGCCAAAAAGACCCAATCAGAACAGCAAAAAGAAAAAGTACAAAGAATGAGGATAGTATAAGGAGCCTCTGGGACAACTTCAAGTGTACCAACATTTCCATGGGAAATGAGAAGAGAGAGAGCAAGAAATTGAAACCTATTTTAAAACATAATGACAGAAAACTTGCCTAACTTGGTGAAGGAAATAGATACAAGTCCAGGAAGTGTAGAGTTCCAAATAAGATGAACCCAAAGAGGCCCACACCAAGATATATCATAATGAAAACGCAAAAGCTTAAAGACAAAGAGAGAATCTTAAGAGCAGCAAGAGAAAAGTAGTTAGTTACCTATAACAGAGCTGATTTCTCAACAGAAACTTTGCAGCTCAGAAGGGATTGGCAAGAAATATTCAAAGTGATGAAAAGCTAGGACTTACAACAAAGATTACTGTACCTAGCAAAGCTCATCAAAAGACAGATAAAGAACTTTTCAGACAAGAGAAAGCTAAAGAAGCTCATCACCACCAAACCAGTTTTATATGAAATATTAAAGGGTCAAAAAGAAGAAAAAAGGTCAAGAAGAAGAAGAGGAGGAAGAGGAAGGCAATAAATACATTTCTATAACATTTGAATTTAACAAAACAAAATAAGTAAGTAGAACACAAATAGACTCATAGATACAGAGAACGTTTTGGCAGTTCCCAGCTGGGAAGGGGGTTGGGAGAATGGGTTACAAAGGTGAAGGCATTAAGAAGTACAAATGTACTTCTTCTTTTCCCACGAAACACCAAATGGCGGGTGACGCTGGTGCTGCGGGAGGCCCTGGAGGCCCCAGAATAGGAGGTTGCCGTGGCTTCCGTGGAGGATTTGGCAGTGGCATTCGGGGCAAGGGCTGAGGCCGCGGAGCTCGTGGAGTCAAGGCCGAGGACAAGAAGTGGATGATCCCTGTCACCAAGCTGGGCAGCCTGGTCAAGGACATGAAAATCAAATCCCTAGAAGAAATCTATTCTTGCCCATCAAGGAATCTGAGATCATTGACTTTTTCTCAGGGGCATCCCTCAAGGATGAAGTCTTGAAGATCATGCCTGTGCAAAAGCAGACAAGTGCTGGCCAGAGGACCCCGTTCAAGGCATTTGTCGCCATTGGGGACTACAATGGACATGTTGGTCTGGGTGTGAAGTGCTCAAAGGAAGTAGCCACTGCCATCCGAGGAGCCATTATCCTGGCCAAGCTCTCTATTGTGCCAGTGCAGCGAGGCTACTGGGGAAACAAGATCAGCAAACCCTACACCGTACCTTGCAAGGTGACTGGCCGCTGTGTCTCTGTACTGGTGCGCCTCATCCCTGCCCCCAGGGGTACGGCCATTATCTCGGCTCTTGTGCCTAAGAAGTTGCTAATGATGGGCCGATATTGACGACTTGCTACACCTCAGCCAGGGGCTACACTGACACCCTGGGCAACTTTGCCAAGGCCACCTTTGATGCCATCTCTAAGACCTACAGCTATCTCACCCCAGATCTCTGGAAAGAGACTGTGTTCACCAAGTCTCCCTATCAGGAATTCACTGACCATCTTGTAAAGACCCACACCAGAGTTTCTGTGCAGAGGACCCAGGCTCCAGCTGTGGCCACCACATAATTTTATACAAGAAAAATAAAGTGAGTTAAACCTGCTAAAAAAAAATAATAATAAAGTACAAATGGACATATAGACCAATGGAACAGAACAGAAAACCCAGAAATCTACCCAGGCCATTATGCTCAATTAATATTTGACAAAAGAAGCAAGAGCGTACAATGGAGTCAAGACCGTCCCTTCAATAAATGGTGTTGGGAAAATTGAACAGATACATGCAAAAAAATGAAACTAGATCACCAACTTACACCATACACAAAAATAAACTCAAAATGGATAAAGGACTTAAATGTAAAACAGGAAACCATAAAAATCTTAGAAGAATCCATAGGCAGCAAATTACCAGACATATGTCGTAGCAATATCTTTTTTTTTTTTTTTTAATATATTTTATTGATTTTTTACAGAGAGGAAGGGAGAGAGATAGAGAGCTAGAGAGAAACATCGATCAGCTGCCTCCTGCACATCTCCTACTGGGGATGTGCCCGCAACCCAGGTACATGCCCTTGACCAGAATCGAACCTGGGACCTTTCAGTCCGCAGGTCGATGCTCTATCCACTGAGCCAAACCGGTTTCGGCAATATCTTTACCAATACAGCTCCTAGGACAATGGAAACTCAGGAGAAAATAAACAAATGGGACTGTATCACAAGAAAAAGCTTATGCACAGCAAAAGAAACCATCAGCAAAACAGCAAGAAAGCCCACTGCATGGGAGAACATATTTGCCAATGTTATCTCTGATAAGGGTTTAATCTCCAAAATTTATAGGAAACTCATACAACTTAACAAAAGGAAGATAATCCAATAAAAAATGGGCAAAGGACCTAAATAGTCATTTTTCGAAAGAGGACATACAGAAGGCCAAGAGACATGAGAACATGCTCAAAGTCACTAATCATCTGAGAGATGCAAATCAAAACAACAATGAGGTACCATCAGACCTGTAAAAATGGATATCATCAACAAATCAACAAACGACAGGCTCTGGCGAGGATGCGGAGATAAAGGAACCCTTGTGCAAACACTGCTGGCGGGAATGCAGACTGGTGCAGCCACTGTGGAAAACAGTGTGAAGTTTCCTCAAAAAATTAAAAATGGAACTTCCATTTGACCCAGTAATCCCACTTCTAGTAACATATCCCAAGAAAACAGAAACACCAATCAGAAAGGATATATGTACCCCTATGGTCATAGCAGCACAGTTTACAATAGCTAAGATTTGGAAATAGCCTAAGTGCCCATCAGCAGATGAGTGGATTAAAAAACGGTGGTACATCTACACAATAGACTACTATGCTGCTATAAAAAAGAAGGAATTCTTACCATTTGCAACAGCATGGATGGAACTGGAGCGCATTATGCCAAGCAAACTAAGCCAGTCAGAGAAAGATAAATATCACTCATTTGTGGAATATAATGAACAACATAAACTGATGAACAAAAATAGAACCAGAGACATAAAAGCATCGAACAGACTGTCCAATCTATGAGGGAAGGCAGGGGGTGAGGAGGTAAGAGATCATCCAAAGGACTTGTATGCATGCATATGAGCATAACCAATGGACACAGACAGTAGCGGGGTGAGGGCATGTGCTGGTGGGTGGAAGTGGCCGGGGAGAGGTCAATGGGAGTAAAAGGAAACTCATGTAATACTTTAAACAATAAAAAATTTAAATTTAAAAAAATGATTATTTCAGAATATTCATGGGGATGTAATGTATAGTACAGGGAATAAAGTCAGTAATATCCTAATAGTTCTGTATCGTGTCAGATGGGTTCAAGATGTATCAGGATGATCACTTGTAAGTTATATAATGTCTAATTACTGGGATGTATACCTGAAATTAATATAGTAATGTATGTCAACCATAACTGAAAATTAAAAAATGATAAAATAAATAAATAGTAGTTAAGGGCATAGGCGTTGAAATATGATAGTTTCATGTTTGAGGACTGGCTCCCTAATTACTAACCCTGTGTCCTTGGGCAAGTTGTTTCCTTTCTGAGCCTCAGTTTTCCCGTTTGTAAAATATAGACAATACCTACTTCAGAGGACTGTTATGAGAATTGAATTAGGTAATGTGTGTTAAGCCCTTAAGAAAGTGCCTAGGACTTGCTGAGTAGTCAATAAATGGTTCCTTTTATTATTTTCAGTTTTAAGAATTTTTTTTTTTAAACGAGAGCTCAGTATTTGGTTTTATTTTTGTAGGTGCTAAGTCCCCGAACTGACATTGGTATATATGGGACTGGTAAAAACAGAAGGAAAAAAGTAAAAGAACTAATAGAAAAAGAAAAAGAAAAGGATCTGGACCATGAGCCTCTGAGTGATCTGGAGGAAGGATTGGAGGAAACCAGAGATACAGCCATGGTGGTAAGAAATTATGATTTGCATTTTGGCTTTGTATGGTAAATACAAAATTCTGTGAAGATATTAGTGCATTCACTGTTTCTATTTTTATATACTTTCTCTGGCTTTATGGTTATATATATTTCAAATATTTTTAAAATATTTATAATCAAAGTATATAAAAAGTTTACTGTTCTCTCCCTAAAATTTTTTCTATATCATTCTTTATTATTGTCTTAATAGTTTAATATTTTATAAAATTTTCTAATATTTACTGAACATTTTTCTGATGTTGAACATTTGGTTGTTATTAAGTGTTTACTATTATGGATACTAATAAAGTGAACTTCTTTGTATATAGCTTTTTCTTTAAAAAAAAATATTTTTATTGATTTCAGAGAAAAAGGGAGAGGGTGAGAGAGAGAGAGAAACATCAATGACGAGAGAGAATTGTTGATTGGCTGCCTCCTGCACGCCCCTGAGGGGATCGAGCCTGTAGCCCGGGCATGTGCCCCTGACCGGAATCGAACCTGGGACCCTTCAGTCCACAGGCGGACACTCTATCCACTGAGCCAAACTGGCTAGGCGCTTTTTCCTTTTTCAAGTTATTTTCTTACACTTGACACTTAGGAATGGGATTACTGGGTTAGAATTTAATGGCTTAATGCTGTTGTGGTTTTTAAAGGAATTGTATCAGCTTACTGATATCTGCTGCTGTTTAAAATATCTTCCTTCTCTCAGTAGCATTCAACAGTATAGTGAGTGCTCAATAGAATATTTGTAGGTAATTAGGTGAAGGCATTAAGAAGTACAAATTGGTTATTATAGAATAGTCATGGGGATGTAATGTACAGTATAGTGGTGTTTTTTGTTTTGTTTTGTTTGTTTTTGGATTTTGTTTGAGAGTAGGAGGAATGTTGTTAAGATTACTAGGAGCCTGAGGAAAGAGAAAAAATAAAAATGAATTTGGTCAGTATGTAGTAAGGAGTTGCCTATGGCTCTTTCTGTCTACAAATGATCCTATGTTGTTGTTTTTCCTTCCCAATTTTACTTTTCAATTACAGTTTGCATTCAACATTATTTTATACTAGTTTCAGGTGTACAGCATAGTGGTTAGATAATCATATACTTTACAAAGTGTTCCCCCCAATAGTTCAGGTACCCACCTGATACCATAAATAGTTATTACAATATTGTTGCCAAATGATTGTGTTTTGAGGCCAGCAGAAATGATTTCTCATTAGGGAGCCTGCCCAACAGGTCATCTTACCAGGCAAATAGAATAGGAAATTATTTCAAAACTAGAGGCCTGATGCACGAAATTCATGCAAGAGTAGGCCTTACTTCTCCCGGCTGCTGGCACTGGCTTCCCTCTGGCACCCTAGATCCGGGCTTCCCTCACAGCTCCGGCTTTGTCCAGTAGATCATCCGGAAGGACGTCTGGTCTAATTAGCATATTATACTTTTATTATTATAGATTGTTTCAAAACTATTAAAAGTTTAAAAAGAAAATCTACTGACAGTATTCATGATAATTAAATGTTATTTGCTTTCATTTACTTTTTTGAAATGAGCTACATAAAATTTTGTTATAATTGGTCATCAGGCTGTGTTACTCCACATAAGTTGGAGAGGCCTTCTAGAAATAAATAAAAATTGATTTGTATAGAACTTCCTCCCAGGGAATGAATTGCCAGTGGATGGGAAGCTAGTATTTATTGAGTGTTTACCTTGTGCCAGGCACCAAGTTAAGCATTTTGATGTATTATCTTATTTAATCCTTAAAACAACAAAATGAGTTTGGTGGTATCCTCATTTTTCAGAAAATTGAGATTCAGAAAACTTGTGCCCCAGATCAACAATATATAAGTACAAGAGCCAAGCTTCATACTTAGGGTCACTTGACTTCAAGGCATACTGTCTACTGCACCCTACAGAATAATTCAAAGTTCTTTCTCTACTGATGAAATTGTCAAATATAGTAGCATTTTGCCCATTTCACACAGGAACGTTTATATGGAAACTGGCACCCCCCCCATTTTACAAAATGATTGACAACTGATTTATTTTTTTTATTTTTTTATTTTATTGATTTTTTACAGAGAGGAAGGGAGAGAGAGAGATAGAAACATTGATGAGAGAGAAACACTGATCAGCTGCCTCCTGCACATCTCCCACTGGGGATATGCCCGCAACCCTGGTACATGCCCTTGACCGGAATCGAACCTGGGACCTTTCAGTCCGCAGGCCGACGCTCTAATCCATTGAGCCAAACCGGTTTCGGCTGATTTTTTTTTTTTTTTTTTTTTTTTTTTAAGGACAATGCTTGTTACTATGAGGCCCCAACTTGGAGATGATCCCTCAGCCTTAAGGATTTTGGTATTTATGGAGTATTTTGCAGTGACTCCTTTCTTTTAAATGTTCTTTGTGTACAGGTGGCAGTTTTCAAAGAACGTGAGCAAAAAGAGATTGAAGCCATGCATTCCCTCAGAGCAGCCAATCTAGCCAAGATGACAATGGTGGACCGCATAGAAGAAGTAAAATTTTGCATTTGCCGCAAGACAGCCAGTGGATTTATGCTGCAGTGTGAGCTCTGCAAAGACTGGTTCCATAATAGCTGTGTTCCCCTGCCTAAGTCAAGTACCCAGAAAAAAGGGTCTAGTTGGCAGGCTAAGGAAGTAAAATTCCTTTGCCCTCTTTGTATGCGCTCTCGAAGGCCAAGGCTAGAGACTATTCTGTCACTCCTAGTATCCCTTCAGAAGTTGCCTGTACGGTTGCCTGAAGGAGAAGCCCTACAGTGTTTGACAGAACGTGCTATGAGTTGGCAGGATAGAGCCCGGCAGGCTCTAGCCACAGATGAACTGTCTTCTGCCCTGGCCAAACTATCTGTGTTGAGCCAGCGTATGGTGGAGCAGGCAGCTCGAGAAAAAACTGAAAAGATCATCAGTGCAGAACTCCAAAAAGCAGCTGCCAATCCAGATTTACAGGCAAGTTTAGGATTTTCTTTTTTTATTTCATAAGATAATGTTTGTCAGTGTGTAAGTACTAAGTCAAATCTATCTTAACAGTTGATTAGGAAGACAACAGTAAGTTGCCAGCAGTTAGATTATCCATAACATCTTCTTTCTTTATACACCTATAGGATTTTGAATATATAACTAAGTCATTTTAGTGAAAAATTATTTGGAAATATTATTCAGGTGGGCCTTGGTATCGTAGGCAAATAATTTGCTCTGTACTAACTGGTGAACTCTGTTTAGCCACTTTGCAAGTTCATTACATTTTGGTAGTCATAATCACATATTACCCATGTTTATTCAGTGTGTCTCTCTGTTCATCCTGAAATTATTTGTTGTTTAGGGACACTTACCTACTTTCCAACAGTCTGCTTTTAACCGGGTGGTGAGCAGTGTATCTTCTTCCCCTCGACAAACAATGGATTATGATGATGAAGAAACAGATTCTGATGAAGACATTCGGGAGACATATGGCTATGACATGAAGGTAATTACATGGTCAGGTGTGTAGGTACATATCTGATCACTGGGTTTGTTTAACAAGATGTTTGAGGCTTAAGAGTAGAAGAGAAAGCTAGTAATCTATTTATCTTGAGTTTATGGTGATAGCATTTTTTTCAAAGCTCCAAAAAAACATAGATTGATGATGAAATAACAGGTTTTTTTTTAAGAGTGGAATTTTAAACTTTATTTTTCTCACCATGTAACTCCTTAGGTCTTAAGAGGGACTAACAAAATTATTCTTTTAGTTACTGAAAACTTTCATGGCTGATTTAGTATTTTTTCTTTGGTTGTTAACATCTATCTAGTTATTTTTTAAAAATTTCATTGTATCTTGCTTTGAGTACTGGCTCTTCCACAAAATACCACGTGCGGGCGTGCATGTACAGTGCGATTAAAATTTCGTGGCCAATGTGCGGAAGTCAGTATTTTGTGGAAGAGCCGGTATTTTGTGAAGCTCTTTATCTGACCCTCAATTCTAAATGAGAGCTTTGCTGGATAGAGTAATCTTGATTGTAGGTCCTTGCTCTTCATCATTTTGAATATTTCTTGCCACTCCCTTCTGGTCTGCATAGTTTCTGTTGAGAAATCAGCTGACAGTCATATGGGCGCACCCTTGTAGGTAACTAACTGCTTTTCTCTTGCTTTTAAGATTCTCTTTTTGTTTTTAACCTTTGCATTTAATTATGATGTGTCTTGGTGTGGGCCTCTTTGGTTCCTCTTGTTTTGGACTCTCTGTGCTTTCTGGACTTGTAAGTCTATTTCTTTCACCAGGTAAGGGAAGTTTTCTGTCATTATTTCTTCAAATAGTTTTCAATATCTTGCTCTTTCTCTTCTTCTGGCACCCCCATAATGCAAATGTTGGTAAACTTGAAGTTGTCCCAGAGGCTCCTTACACTATCTTCATATTTTTTAACTAGAGTCCCGGTGCACAAAAATTTGTGCACTGGGGGTGGGGATGGGGGTCCCCTCAGCTCAGCCTGCGCCCATTTGCACTCCAGGACCCCTTAGGGGATGTCCACCTGTTGACTTAGGCCCACTCCCCGGAGGATCAGGCCTAAGCTTACAGTCAGACATCCTTCTGGCAGCCAGGGAGCCCTCGGGGGATGTCTGACTAAAGGCTTAGGCCCCCAAGGGATCGGGCCTAAACCATTAGTTGGACATTCTTAGTGCTGCCATGGAGGTGGGAGAGGCTTCTGCCACCATCTCTGCTCTGGCCAGCCATGAACCAGTTTCTGGCTGAGTGGCACTCCCTATATGGAAGTGCACTGACCACCAGGGGGCAGCTCCTGCATTGAGCGTCTGCCCGCTGGTGGCCAGTGCGCATCATAGCAACCGGCCATTGTGCCATTCAGTCAATTTGCATATTAGCCTTTTATTATTATTATTATTATTATTATTATTATTATTAAGGATGTCCCTATTTACCCCCTTTTGCCCCCTCTACCCAGCTCTTGCCCCCCACTTCTCTCTGGCCATCACCATACTGTTGTTTGTGTCCATGGGTTGTGCATATATTTTCTTTGGCTAATCCCTTCTTTAAATTCACTTCTTTAAATTTTTATTTTCAGATAAGTGCTTATAACTGCACTATTATATATTTTCTATTATATCATTTAGAATTAAGATATCTTTTAATTGAACCCTTGTAAATTTTAGCACAATTTAATAAATTATGCTAGAAGCAATTAGGAGATTTTTCATGTAATGCAGATACATTTCAATTAATATTTTATTAATTTTTAATTTTTTAATATTTTAATGTGAAATAATCTCATACATGTAAAAAAAAACCTATAAAATACTACAGCATATTATATGTACCTTTCACCCAATTTCTTAGGTGTTAACAATTTAAACATAACTATTATACAACTAACAAAATTTGGAATATATTTTTCTTATAATCTCTTTAATGTTACTTACTCCATTTACTTTGTTTTTGTTAATCTTCACCCAAGGATATTTTTCCATTGAATTTTAGAGAGAGTGAAGGGAAAGGGAGAGACACATTGATTGGTTCCCTCCTGCACATGCTCTGATAGGAACTGGGATCAAGCCAGCAACTGAGGTATATGCCCTTGACTGGAATCTAACCTGGGACCCTTCAGTCCAAGGGCTAATGCTCTATCCACTGAGCAAAACAGGCTGCAGCTTAATTCATTTACTTTTAATCTATATGTGTCTTTATATTTAAAGTGGGTTTTGTTTTTGATTCACCCTCATAATATGTCTTTTAATTGGTGCATTTATGCCTCTGACTTTTAGAGTGCTTACTGAGTTATTGCCATATTAGGCAGCTTCTGGGGCTTCAGGGGCCAGCCTGTGGCCTGGGACCAGATCCGATCACGGGTAGCAGGTAGGCGGCTTCTGGGGCTTCCAGGGCTGGCCTGCGGCCCGGGACCGGATCTGATCAAGGGCGGCAGGCTGGCGGCTTCTGGGGTCACCCACGGGGGCCTGGATGGCGGCTTGCGCTGGCGGCTCGCGCTCTCCCGACCTGCCTGCATTATGCAAATTAGCCACCATCTTTGTTGGCGGCTAATTTGCATATCTCACTGATTAGCCAATGGGAGGCATAGCGAAGGTACGGTCAATTACCATGTTTGTCTATTATTTATTTTTAATTCTTTTTTCTTTTTGTTCTTCTGATTGGGTGTTCTTTGCTTCCTCATATTCGAAATCATTGATTTGATTCTCGGAATCCTCTACTGTTGAATCCCTGTAAATTATTCTTTATTTCAGTTAGTGTATGCTTAATTTCTGACTGGTCCTTTTCCATGTCTTTGGCATTATTACTAAGATCCTTGAAAGTCTCACTAAGTCTCTTGAAGGTCTCATGAAGATCCTTGAGTAACCTTATAACCGTGGTTTGCTTTCTTTCATTTGTGACATGTTGCTTTGTCTCTGCATTTTGGCTGCTTCCCTGTGTTTGTTTCTATGTATTGGATAGAGCTGCTATGTCTCCTGGAGTTGGTAAAGTGGCCTTGTGTAGTAGGTATCCTATAGGGGCCCAGTTGCTCAGCCTTCCCAGTCACTTGAGCTGGGCTCTCTAGTTGCAGTCCTTTGTGGGCTGAGTGCACAGTCTTGTTGTAGTTGAGACTTGATTGCTGTTGGTGTCACTGGGAGGAATTGACCTCCAAGCCAATTGGCTGTGAGGACCAGCTGTGACTACAGTGGGAGAGCTGCTGTGCAGGAAACACCCCTATAGAGCCAGACTTGCTTCAGTGGGGCTTTGGTGCTCACTGAGTCTGCCTCTTGAGTGTGTCGCTTATGGATGTGAAGAGTTGTAATCTGATATGGTCTGAAGCTGTCGACCAGGTGCACTGGCTCTAGGGTCTCCAGGGAGGTGCAAAATCAGCCACTGCCTGGGGCCACCTGGCAGGAGCTACAGAGAGATCTGCAGATTCCTCCTATTTGTTTCGGATTTGGATATACCCAGGTGAGGCCCAGCTGTGAAGTAAGGCAGGCTGGTGCTGGATCTTGGTCCTTTTATTGATAAACTAGAGGCCTGTTGCACGAAATCCGTGCATGGGGTTGGGAGAAGTCTCCTCAGCCCAGCCTGCACCCTCTCCAATCCGGGAACCCTCGGGGGATGTCCCTCTCGCAATCCGGGACTGCTGGCTCCTAATCGCTCGCCTGCCTGCCTGATTGCCCATAACCACTCTGTCTGTCAGCCTGATCACCCCTAACTGCCCTCTCCTGCCAGCCTGGTTGCCCCTAACTGCCCTCCCCTGCCGGCCTGGTCGCCCCTAACTGCTCTCATCTGCCAGCCTCATCACCCCTAACTGCCTCAGCCCCCGCCACTGAGGCTTTGTCCAGAAGGATGTCTGGAAGACGTCTGGTCTAATTAGCGTATTACCTTTTATTAGTATAGATTTAGGGCATCCTGACACCAGCTGCAGCTTTTTTGAGAGATTTTAGCAAAGTCTGAAGCCTGAGCTGGAATAAGCCATTCCTATCAAAAAGCTGCTGCAAACAGCTTGGGTGGGGCTGCAAATTGGATTGGGCAGTGTCTCACGGAATCACCAGGGCAGAGCAAACAGTGTACTCCAGGTTGATGGGGACTCACATAAGGTTGCCAGTCAGCCCTGGGACAGGGGAGTTCTTGGCCTAGGAACAATGACTCCTGTGAGCATCTCCGTCTGGTAACAAGCTGCTTCCGAATTCCTGCCCTGATGCCAGATAATTCAGTTCTTCCCCTTATGTGTTTGGGTCCCCTAACTTCTCCTGGCACTGAAGCTCAGAGGAATCGAGTCCGAGTAAGTTTGTGCCTGGCCCTTTAAGAGGAACACCTGAGTCTCTGGCAGCCTTTGTGTCCCTTGGCCACAATCCCTGCTGGTTTTTCAGCCTGAATTTACGGGGACTTCTCTTCCCAGCTCTGGGACCCTGGGTTTGTGTGTGTGTGTGGGGGGGGGGGGGGTGTCTGGTGTGGGGCTGGGACCCTTTGCTCCTCACGGGGCCTCTGCAGGGACGATCTCCCTCTGGATTATAAAAACAGCCTACATGGGTGCTGGACCAGCCTGATCCATGCCTTCACCCCTCCTAACCAGTTTCAACGTGCTTTCTTTTTTACATCTCTAGTTGTAGGACTTCCATTCAGCTAGCTTTAATGCGGTTCTTAATGATGGTTGTTCTGTATTTTAGTTGTAATTTTGACATAGTTGTGGGATGCAGTGAGTACCGGCATTTACCTATGCTGCCATCTTGGTTCCTCCTATCTGTGTCTACATAATTAAAATGTGTCTCTTGAGATAGCATGTAAATAGGGTCCTTTCTGGTTTGTAATCTGCATATATATGTAACTTAAAATATATGGTTGAGTCTTGTTTTTTGTGGGTTTTTTTTTTAATTAACATGACCTGTCTTCTCATTGGGGGTGTTTAGTCTATTTACATTTAATGTAATTGTTGACATGGTTGGGTTTAAGTTGGCCATCTTGCTATTTATTTTTATTTACAATATTTTTATTGATTTCAGAGAGGAAGGAAGTGGGAGAGAAAAAACATCAATGATGAGAGAATCATTGATTGGCTGCCTCCTGCATGCCCCACACTGGGAATCGAGCTTGCAACCTGGGCATGTGCCTTGACTGGGAATTGAACTGTGACTTCCTGGTTCATAGGGCGACCCTCAACCACTGAGCCATGCTGGCTGGGTTCTTGCTATTTATTTTTTATTAAGGCCCCCACCCCCTTTTTTTTTGTTCCTTTATTTTACTTTTTATTGGTTTCTTATATTTTTGTATTTATTTAATTTTCTTTTTCAGTGTTTCCTCTAGGGCTAACAATTTATCTTTAACTTGTCAAAGTCAATATTGTACCTCTTTACTTTTCATACTTCACTTGGGGAAGTAATTTTTTAAATTTGTTCTTATGACTTTCCTTCATTACCTCCTGTTCACCATTCTTTCCACTTTGAAAGCCTAACAAAGTTTCCTGCTTGAGTTACAATGAAATGAATAGAATTAAGGTTAGAAAAGACCATTCCATTCTAAAAAGCAACAGATGGTGCAGGCTATAGTACAGATGTGTTACTTTTTAGAATTTGTTTGAATAGGGAAGAAGATAATGAACTGCTGGTATCCCTAAATTTTCAGTGAGTGGTATTGTCTTCCAGAATCCTGTTATAAAACCTTTTAAGTACCCTGTTTAATTAAGGATAATCTCATGCACCCTACAAGGAGAATCAGGTGTTATATTAGTCATTAAGCTTTTATCTTTCTCCTGACTCACTCTTTTATAATTTTTGTGGTGCTGGGGGTAGGACTCTACACCAGGGCTTTGTAAACATTTTCTGTGAAGTAATAAATATATTAATATATTAATGCTTATTAATATATAATATTATTATGTATATTAATTATTTTAGGCTTTGAGAGCCACAAGTGGTTCTAATTTTTAATACCCCTCTTTGTTTCTTCTTCAGGACACAGCCAGTGTAAAGTCCTCCAGTAGTCTGGAACCCAATCTTTTTTGTGATGAAGAGATTCCCATCAAGTCTGAGGAGGTGGTCACTCACATGTGGACAGCTCCCTCATTCTGTGCAGAACATGCTTATTCTTCTGCTTCTAAGAGTTGTTCTCAAGGTATTACCCTTTAAAACAGTGTGGAGAAGATTAGCTGAAACCAGTGAGAAAAAAACCATTATATTAATCAAGACTATGAATCCCTCTTTAAATACATAATGTTTGCCATGAAATTTTATTAGAACCTGAAAATGTCCCTATTTGCATTTTCTGTCATTAGGTTGATAATCTGAAAACTTACATAGAATTATTGAATTCTAATTAGAAGAACTTTAGAGGCCATCTAGTCCCATCTCTCATTTTTATAAAATCTCTGATAAGGAACCATTTAGTCTTTTTTTGTTTTTGTTCATTATGAGTTCTTAAGGAACTTGCTGCTTTTTAAGAATATTCATTCTAGTTTCGGAAAGCTTTAATTGTTAGAAAGTTTTTCCTTTTCTTTGTATATAATTTCTCTGTTTTTTTTTTTTTTTTATTTATTGCTTAAAGTATTACAAAGGGTATTACATATGTGTCCACTTTATCCCGCCGCCCTAGACAGTCCCCTAGCCTCCCCTATCCCCCAGTGTCTTATGTCCATTGGTTATGCTTATATGCATGCATACAAGTCCTTTAGTTGATCTCTTACCCCCCTACCTCCTGCCCCCCAACCCTCCCCGGCCTTCCCGCTGCAGTTTGACCATCTGTTTGAGGCAGCTCTGCCTCTGTATCTATTATTGTTCAAAAGTTTATAATGGTCTCTATTATCCATGAATGAGTGAGATCATGTGGTATTTTTCCTTCATTGACTGGCTTATTTCACTTAGCATAATGCTCTCCAGTTCCATCCATGACGTTGCAAATGGTAAGAGTTCCTTCCTTTTTAGAGCAGCATAGTATTCCATCGTGTAGGTGTACCACAGTTTTCTAATCCATTCATCTACTGATGGGCACTTAGGCTGTTTCCAGATCTTAGCTATGGTGAATTGTGCTGCTATGATATAATTTCTCTGTTATGTTCACTTTTTTCCCAGTGAAAATAAGTCACATTGCTTTAGGATACATCTCTGGAAAATGGAGGGTGTTCATCTCTTCATAGTAAAATTCAGAATTTTATGGGACAGCATATTACAATTTACCTTTGAACAGTGCAGGGGTAAGGGGCACTGACTCACTGTGCAGTCAAAAATTAGCACATAACTTAAGCCAGTCCTGTGCATACACAGATTCCCAACCTCAGATAAAAAATACAGTTGACTTGCTCTGGGTGGGGTGTCTCAGTGGTAGAGCCTTGGCCTGTGCATCTAAGGAAGATCGTGGGTTCGATTCCTGGTCAAGGGCATGTGCCTAAGTTGCAGGTTCAATCCCTGGCCCTGGTCAGGGCACATGTGGGAGGCAACCAATTGATATGTCTCTCTCACATTGATGTTTTTCTCTCCCTTTCCCCCTCCCCCCTCCCTCCCTCTTCTCTCTGCCTCCCTTCTTCCCTCCCTTCCATTCTTTCTAAAAATCAATAAAATAGCCTTGGCCGAAGATTAACAAAAACAAATAAATAGTTGACCCTTGAATTTGAACTGCACAGGTCCACTTATACACCAATTTTTAAAATCTGCTTTAAAGTGGACCAGTTATTCAGATATAAGTGGGCCATGATCTGTGTAGTTCAAACCTGCCTGTCCAAGGGTCAGCTGTGTTTGTTGTCTGTTCATTAGAAAAATAATCACTTACTTATGTAGGGCAGGTATATGCTTAATCTGTTGGTATCCTCTAAAAGGAAGAGAGCATGGGTTAAGAGATTCTTTTCTACTAGGGGCCCGCTACACAAAATTCATGCAAGGGGCTCGGCCCTCACAGCCCTGGCTTTGTCTGGAAGGTCCTTTGGCCATCTGGTCTAATTAGCATATTGTGCTTTTATTATTATAGATTCCCCTTCTTCAGTCACAGGATAAACAATAAGGAACCAGTTTTGTACTCTAAACCAATATTTTAGAGTGCATATTAGAATTCTAGATATTTTTGTTCCATATTTATTTTTAGTTTCATTTTCACTTTAATACTGATGCAATCAATTAGAATGTCTAAATTATTGGGGGTGAAAGAACCATTCCCCTAATTATTTATTTTGGAAACATTACATTTTTTTCATAGTTTTCATTTTTATTTTGTCTTACAAATTTTTGGAAAGGTTCTAGCACCCCAAGGAAACAGCCACGGAAGAGCCCTTTGGTGCCCCGAAGTTTAGAACCTCCAGTGTTGGAGTTGTCACCTGGGGCTAAAGCCCAGCTGGAAGAACTTATGATGATTGGAGATCTCCTGGAAGTATCTCTAGATGAAACTCAACACATATGGCGGATTTTGCAGGCCACACACCCACCCTCTGAAGACAGATTCCTGCATATCATGGAGGTATGGATTTAAAACTTACTAGAACAGTGATTGTAAAACTATTTAGAATGCCCAAGTTCCTTGGAAGAACCGTAAATGCTGGCAAGGCAAGATGGCTGAGTGTGTAGCATTCTGACTCTCCTACTTTCTGATTAAATCAAAGTAGTTCTCTTTTATGGTTTTCTTTATTGAGATTTTATGTGATATGTAATTTTGGGGAAAATAGACCATTTCTGCTAAAAAGAAAGGGGGTTACTGAAAATCACCAGCTTAGAACAGTTTTCTTAGACCAGACTCCTGTTAATCAAAGGCCCAAAAGTTAGGCAGGGGAAAATATTGTGGTTAAAAAAAGAAACATACCATGTCTTGGCTCATGCTACCAACTTTTTAAAAATCTCTCACGGAGCTTCTGACCTTGGCATGCCTCATACCTCTTGATAAGTGGCCCCAGGCTTGGCATTAGTGGCAGCCAGCCTTAGTTTGAGGCTGCCAGCCTTAGCTTGGCCTGCTCTAGGCACCTCAAGCCCAGCACATGTAGCAGCCATCTGCAGATTGCTTTGTAGCTCATGACAGGTCATCCTGGGCAGGACACAGATGGCAGTTGACCTTGGCTTGCACCTCCTGGTAGGCCCCAAAGCCAGCGCACCCAGTGGACAGCTTCAGACCATGCTGAAGTACCATCCAACCACCTCCATGAGCAGCACACCCAAGTGGTGGACTCAGCAGGCATTAGAGCCCTCCTTAAGTGAGTCCAACTCCATGGGGTCGACCACTGCATAGCATGTCCTCCATGGTGGTTGTGGAAAGTCCTTGCAGCCAATTGACCTTGGGGGGAAATCCCTCCCATTGACATGCCAACAGCAATCAGGACTCCACTACAATAGAAGGGTGCACACAATCCACATGGGGAACACATCTGGAGTGCATAATTTAGGGTGACTGGGGAGTCTGTGCCACTGGGTCCTACAGGACACCTAACTATATAAGGCCACTCTACCAAGACCTGAGATGTAGCTCTGCCTAAAACATAGAAACAAACTCAGGGAGCCTGCCAAAATGAGAAAAAGAAATATGTTTCAAATAAAATAACAGAACAGAACTCCAGAAAAAGAACTAAACAAAATGAAATAAGCAATCTATCAGTTCAAAACACTGGCTGTAAGGATACTCAAGGATCTTGGTGAGAACTTCAACAAAGATAGGAAACATAAAATAGAACCAGTTAGAAATGAAGACTACAATAACAAATTAAGAATATATTACAAGGAATCAGCAGTAGAGTAGATGAAGCATAGGATCAAATCAGTGATTTGGAAGATAAGAAAGCAGAAAATTACCCAACCAGAACAGCGAAAAGAAAAGAAAAAAAAAGAATAGGTCAAGAAGCTTCTGGGACAACTTCAAGTGATGATGGAAAACTTCTTTAACTTGGTGAATGAAATAGACACACAACTCCAGGAAGCACAGAGCATCCCAAACAAGATGAACCCAAAAAGACCCACACCAAGACACATCATAATTGAAATGCCAAAGATGAAAGACAAAGAGAAAATCTTAAAAACAGCAAGAGAAAAGCAGTTAGTTACCTATAAGGGAGCTCCCATAAGATTGTCAGCTGATTTCCCAACAGAAGCTTTGCAGGCCAGAAGAAATTGGCTTCTTATATTCCAAGTAATGGAAAGCAAGGATCTACAACCAAGATTACTCAACAAGGCTCTCATTTAGAATTGAAAGACATACAAAGAGATTCTCAGACAAAAAAAGGCTAAAGGAATTTATCACCACCAAATCAATATTACAAGCAATGTTAAAGGATCTTCTTGAAGAAGGAAGAGGAGGGTCAAAAAATATGAACAATAAAATGGCAATACATACATCTATCACACTAGCTGGTTTGGCTCAGTGGATAGAGCGTTGGCCTGCGGACTGAAGGGTCCAGGGATCGATTTCAGTCAGGGGCACATGCTCAGGTTGCGGGCTCAATCCCCAGTAGGGGGTGTACAGCAGGCAGCCAATCAATGATTCTCTCTCATCATTGATATTTCTGTCTCTCTCTCCCTCTCCCTTCCTCTCTAAAATCAATAAAAATATATTAAAAAACAACAACAAAAACCACTTATCAACCATTACTTTAAATGGAAATGGGTTAAATGCTTCAAAAGATAAATGGTGGCTGAATGGATCAAGTAAGAAAACCCTTACATATGCTGTCTATAAGAGACTCACTTCAAATCAAAAGACACATACACACATAGACTGAAAGTAAAGGGATGGAAAAGGATATTTCATGACAATGGAAATGAAAAGGAAAATAAAAACTGGTGTATTAATACTTTTATCAGATAAAATAGACTAAAATAAAGACTATATAGAGACAAAGTAGGACCCAGCTATTTCACTTCTGGGTATTTATCTGAAGAAACTCAAAACACTAAATTGAAAAGACATGCATCCATATCTTAATTGCAGCATTTTCAGTAGCCAAGATAATAGAAGCAATCTAAGTGTCCATCAATAGATGAATGAATAAAGATGTGGTGCATATATACAGTGGAAAATGACTCAGCCATTAAAAAAAGATAAAGAATGAAATCTTGCCATCTGCAACAACATGGATGGACCTAAAAGGTGCTGTGCTGTGTGAAATAAGTCAGACAGAGAAAGACAAACCATATGATTTCACTTATATGTGGAATCTAAAAAACAAAATAAATGAACATGCAGAACAGAAACAGACCCATAGATACAGAGAATGTTTTGGTGGTTGTTAGATGTGAGGGGTTTGGGGATGAAAAGGGTGAAGTGATTAAGAAGTATAAATTGGTAGTTACAGAAAGTTCATGGGGATATAAAGTACAGCATAGAGCATATAGTAAAAAATATAATTACTTTGTATGGTGTCAGATAGATGATCACTTTGGAGTGAGCACTTCATAAGTTATATAAATGTCTAATTGTTGGGTTTTACACTTGAAACTAATATTGTACATTAACTGTAATTGAAACAAAAATTAGTTAAGAATTAAAAAAATTATTTTTTTAAATGAAGGTTTCTAATGAAATGGTTATATAGAAGTGGAGATGGAGAGTCCACATTCGTCTATTATACTTGCGTAACAGTTTATAATATATTCAGTGTTTATAGATCCGTGATCTCATTTGATCCTCACCATAATCCTGAAAGGGAGAGTGAAAAGGATAGACAGAGCAAGTATTTAGCCCTTCTGTATGTGAAGAAATTTAGGATCCAAGAGGTGGAAACTTGACTAAGGTCACACATGTAGTAAAAACAGAGGGACCTGGTTTCTAACTCTAGCATTTGATTTCTAATATTCTTTTCATTATTTGTTTCCATGTAATGGAATGGTACAGTGTCACCAGTAGTTGATACAGATTCACTTAGCATATTATAATTTGCTAATAATTATAATTTAGTTTGATTTTGTTTGGAAGTCAGATCCCAGGTGTAGCCTAATATAATGTTTTCCAGTCTGTAGAGCACTTTCTTCACATTCATTATCTCATCTGATCCTTTTATTTTATATGTAAAGAAATATAAAGTATTCAGAGGTTAAAAATTTTATCAAAATGTGATAGACTTAGACATTTATAATACAGTGGGTTGTTGTTGTTTTTTGGATTCTGAAGATTTTTAGGTTCTTATCAAAGATTTTCCAGTCTTGAATTTGTGGGAAAATTCTGATTCTTTATCCTTTACTACTCCCCTATCACCCAACCCTTCCCTTTGGTAACCACCATGCTATTGTTTCTCTGTCTTATGAGTTTATTTATATCCCACATATGAAAGAAATCATATGCTTCTTAGCTTAAGTGTTATTTCCTAAGTAATTATCAATATTTCTAATTTTTTTTCAACCTCCCTCCTTATTCTTCCTATTACTAGACATACCTTTACTATTAAAATTCTAACATTTATTGCATTGGCACATAATAGCAACAATATTCGGAAGTTGAAAAGAAAAATGATACATTTTTTGCTTTGTCACATCAACTATTTTCTAGCTCTTGCTAAAGTCACTACATACCTTTTGTATTGAGATCATGATACAATTTTGTATGTTTTGATAACATTTCTAATAACTTCTTAACCACCTAGAATTTATTGTATTAAGAACTATTGTAGTAGTAAATGAAAACCAAAAAAGTTATTATGTAATTTAATATACATTTAGTACATTTAGCTTTCTGTGTATGATTTCATCTCAAATGGATGCTACAGGTTATGTTAATATACTAGAAGCCCAGTGCATGAAATTTGAACACAGGTAGGGTTCCTAGGCCTGGCCTGTGATCAGGGCTTGGCTGGCCTGGGGCCTGCGGGCTGGGGGCAGCTCCTGTGTTGAGCATCTGCCCCCTAGGTGGTCAGTGCGCGTCATAGCAACGGGTTGTTCCGCTGTTTGGTCGATTTGCATATTAGGCTTTTATTATATAGGATGCTAACAATGTGTTTTTTTTCCCTTAGCAAGCTAAAAATAAGTGAAATATTTTATTTAGGGCTTGCCATTATTTTTTTTAAATATATTTTATTGATTTTTTACAGAGAGGAAGGGAGAGGGATAGAGAGTTAGAAACATCGATGAGAGAGAAACATCGATCAGCTGCCTCCTGCACACCTCCTACTGGGGATGTGCCCGCAACCAAGGTACATGCCCTTGACAGGAATCGAACCTGGGACCATTCAGTCCCCAGGCCGACGCTCTTTCCACTGAGCCAAACCGGTTAGGGTACATTTTTTACTATTGATTATCTTCATTGAATATTACATTTGCCTTCTTAAAGTGATTTTTAAATATCTAGGACAGCGGTTCTCAACCTGTGGATCGCAACCCCTTTGGGGATCGAACGACCCTTTCACAGGGGTCACCTAAGACCATCGGAAAATACATATAATTACATATTTTTTTTGTGATTAAACACTATGCTTTAATTATGTTCAATTTGTAACAATGAAATTGGGGGTCACCACAACATGAGGAACTGTATTAAAGGGTCGCAGCATTAGGAAGGTTGAGAACCACTGATATAGGATATTCATTGTAGTACAGTGTACACTAAACAAAATTTACCATTTTAACTTTTTAAGTATACAATTCAGTTGTATTAATTACCTTCACAATGTTGTGCAATGATCACCATTATTTGCAGAACTTTTTAAATTAGCCCAAACAGAAACTCTGTACCAATTAAACAATAAGTCCCATTTCTGTCTCCCCCAGTAACCTCTGCTATACATTTCTCTATGTATTTGACACTTCAAGATACCTCACATAAGAGAACAAAACTGTTTTTAAATGTCTTGCTTAAAAATTGTTTCTAATTTTATATTTTTGAAGGATGACAGCATGGAGGAGAAACCATTAAAAATAAAAGGAAAGGACTCTTCAGAGAAGAAAAGGAAACGGAAGCTAGAAAAGGTAGAACAACTTTTTGGAGAAGGAAAACAGAAGTCCAAAGAGTTAAAGAAAATGGATAAACCTAAAAAGAAGAAATTAAAATTAAGTGCAGAAAAAGCAAAGGAGCTGAACAAACTGGCCAAGAAACTAGCAAAAGAAGAAGAGAGAAAGAAAAAGAAGGAGAAGGCTGCTGCAGCCAAAGTTGAACTTGTGAAAGAGAATACTGAGAAGAAGAGAGAAAGAAAAGTGCTGGACATCCCCTCAAAGTATGACTGGTCAGGAGCAGAGGAATCTGATGATGAGAATGCCGTGTGTGCAGCACAAAACTGTCAAAGGCCTTGCAAGGATAAGGTGAGTTCTAATGGGGTGTAGTCAAGTGTGAGAGAGGACAAGGAGCAACAGGCGTGGAGACATGTTTGATATAATGATAGTCTGTTTTTGATCCCAGGGTTTGGGCTTCCAACAAAATATGTTTTCTACAGTTTCTATAAAGTGTTTTGAATTATGAGGCTCTTAGATCAATGTGATTAGTAGAAGAAATGTTGTGTTTTAAAAATCATATATTTAGTGAACGTAATGCGACGAGCAGAGAGGAGCTATGTGATTACCCGGAGCAGCGGTACTTTTCAAATGCAATTGGCATAAAAAGTTTCAGAATAGTCTTACACCTTCCCTATAGGGTGACTCGGAGAACTAAATATCTTGTTAGTTAGCCACAGTGGCCTGAAAAAATCCTGGGCCAATATTCTAAGAGTTCTGGCAAATTGCATTAGGATTTGTTCTAACGACATAAAGCTTAGGGGTTAAGTCTTCCCTTTTTGGTCTGTGTCTTATCTACACTCAGGCCTATTGTACTCTCCTCAATGGAATATGATTTTATGAATATGAAATCCCTTGTAAAAAAATAAATAAGACCTTTAAAGATAATGTTTAAAAATTTTAGTCCTAAGTTTTAAGTATAATAATTATGTATATTGGCCATTCTTTAAGTAATATTTATGTTCTGAGAAAGATCAATGGACTTTATGAAAAATCTCAGTTCATAAAATGACTAGAGGCATCAGTTATGGTTCCCATCAAGATAATTAGTAAATTCATAGTTCTAATTTTATGTTCATTATACCACTTGGTATTTAGAATTTTAATAGCTCTTCAATTTGAATATATGAACAGAGTAAATACAACTGCATCAGTGTTAGAGCTTGAAGAGGTCACTGTACCCAGGGTTCTTCATTTTATAAACAATGAAACCAGAACTCAGTGAAGGTAAATGATGTGACCAATGTCACAGAGCTAATTAGTGGCAAAATTAAAAGTAGAACCTTAAGCCAAAACCGGTTTGGCTCAGTGGATAGAGCGTCGGCCTGCGGACTGAAAGGTCCCGGGTTCAATCCCGGTCAAGGGCATGCACCTGGGTTGCGGGCACATCCCGAGTAGGAGATGTGCAGGAGGCGGCTGATCGATGTTTCTCTCTCATCGATGTTTCTAACTCTCTCTCTCCCTTCCTCTCTGTAAAAAATCAATAAAATATATTTAAAAAAAAAAGAAGTAGAACCTTAGTTACCTGCCCCCCCACAGCAGGTTCTCTCCACTAATATCCTTACCCCACCATTAATTGAGATGTAAATACAAAAACACATTCCAAAACTTAACATTTATATTTATATAGTTATTAAAGTTTTTTTTAAAATATATTTTATTGATTTTTTACAGAGAGGAAGGGAGAGGGATAGAGAGTTAGAAACATTGATGAGAGAGAAACATCGATCAGCTGCCTCCCGCACACCCCCCCACTGGGGATGCGCCCACAACCAAGGCACATGCCCTTGACCGGAATCGAACCTGGGACCCCTCAGTCCACAGGCCGACGCTCTATCTGCTGAGCCAAACCGGTTACGGCTAAAGTTTTATTTTTATTTTTATTTTTATTTATTTTTTTAACTCTTTTTTCTTCTTCTTCTTTTTTTTAAATCTTTATTGTTCAGATTATTACATTTGTTCCTCTTTTTTCCCCCCCATAACTCCCCTCCTCCCAGTTCCCGCCCCACCCTCTGCCCTCACTCCCCACCCACTGTCCTCATCCATAGGTGCAGTCTCTTCCCGCATCTCCCACACCCCTTTTCCCCCCAAGAATAGTCAGTCCATTCCCTTTCTATGTCCCTGATTCTATTATAATCACCAGTTCATTCTGTTCATCAGATTATTTATTCACTTGATTCTTAGATTCACTTGTTGATAGATGCATATTTGTTGTTCATAATTTGTATCTTTACCTTTTTCTTCCTCTTCCTCTTCTTAAAGGATACCTTTCAGCATTTCATATAATCCTGGTTTGGTGGTGATGAACTCCTTTAGCTTTTGCTTATCTGTGAAGCTCTTTATCTGACCTTCAATTCTGAATGATAGCTTTGCTGGATAAAGTAATCTTGGTTGTAGGTTCTTGGTATTCATCACTTTGAATATTTCTTGCCACTCCCTTCTGGCCTGCAAAGTTTCTGTTGAGAAATCAGCTGACAGTCGTATGGGTATTCCCTTGTAGGTAACTGAGTTTCTTTCTCTTGCTGTTTTTAAGATTCTCTCTTTGTCTTTTGCTCTTGGCATTTTAATTATGATGTGTCTTGGTGTGGTCCTCTTTGGATTCCTTTTGTTTGGGGTTCTCCGCGCTTCTTGGACCTGTAAGTCCATTTCTTTCACCAGGTGGGGGAAGTTTTCTGTCATTATTTCTTCAAATAGGTTTTCAATATCTTGCTCTCTCTCATCTTCTGGCACCCCTATAATTCTGATATTGGTACGCTTGAAGCTGTCCCAGAGGCTCCTTACACTATCCTCGCATTTTTGGATTCTTTTTTCATTTTGCTTTTCCGGTTGGGTGTTTTTTGCTTCCTCGCATTTCAAATCATTGACTTGATTCTTGCGCTCCTCTGGTCTGCTGTCGGGAGTCTGTATAATATTCGTTATTTCAGTTCGTGTATGCTTAATTTCTAGTTGGTTCCCCAACATAGCATCGAGGGTCTCATTAGTTTTCTTGTAGATCTCATTAAGTTTATCGGCGGCTTCTAAACAGTTCTTGAGAGACCTTAAAAGTGTGGTTCTGAACTCTATATCTTCCATTGACAATTTTGTCCTGTTTCTTTGTCTCTGCATTTTGTTATGCTTCCTTGGTGCACCCCCTAGTGGTCTTTGTTCGCAGTCTTATAGTTAAACCTTGATTGTTGTAGCTAATACCAGGGAGGGTTTGACCTCCTGGCCAAGTGGCTATGAGAATCAGCTGTGTCTGTAGTGAGAGAACTTCTGTCCTCTAGGGAGGTGCTAATCTAGCCTTTGCCTGAGGCTATCCAGCAAATGCCTGTGTGCAGGGCTTGGGCGGGGCGGGTCCCACAGGATCAACAGGGTGGGCCGGAGAGAGCAGTTATGGCGGCTCTCAGTCCTGTCCCCAGGGGCTCTGCCTCTCTGAGTCCCAGCACCCGCTGCAAACCTCGGAGAGAAAGCTGCACTCGCTCTGACCGAAGCCAGACAGTCCCGCTTCTCCCGTTTGAGTCTGGTTCCCTAAAGACTCGCCCGTATCTGGAGCTCAGAGTCTGCGACTCCCTCCCGATTGAAAACGCCAACCGCGCCCTCCGCCGCCAGCCCGCTCCGCGCACTCGGCACCTCAGTATTTGACTTAAGCACTGCGCCTCCTCTGAGTGTCCATATGCGTTTCTCTTTCCTCCTAGTTGTAGGACTTCCACTCAGCCAGCGTTCCTGTGGTTCTGGGTGATGTCCGTTCAGTTTTTTAGTTTCACTTTTGAAGTAGTTGTTCAAGGCAGCAAACTCTGGCGTTAACCTATGCCGCCATCTTGGTTCTCTCCTAAAGTTTTATATAGTAAAATACATAGCCCATGGTCTTACTTCCCAAGGTTAGTAGCTATAAAAATTTTTGTGTGTTTCCTTCTAATCCTTTTTTATAGTTTATTTTATATCATGTCATACTATATTCACTTTTGTATCTTTATTAATTTCATAAGCATTTCTATATACTATAAACATTTTAATGGGTACATTATATATGTGTGTACTGTTTTTATCTTTTATTTTGAACTTATTCTCGTCTGAGTTTGTTTATTAAAGAGGCTGCTGAAAGGCTGTTTCTCTTTGGGTATTAGTAGCTCAGTGTTGGCAAAAACTTTTTTTCTTTCTCTTTAATTGTATGGCAGTCACCAAAATATGGTATTTCTTTTTCAAGCTTTCCTGTTATCCTTACAGTGTTTAAATCTATCATGAATCTTTTACCTTCTCTTTTATTTCTCCTTTTCATTTAATAATCTCTTCCCTCTTTGCTCAGCATTTTAAATATGGCTTAGTTCATCTGTTGTTATCCCTGTTATCTTCCTGTAGCATTTAAACACTACACACAGTTTTTTTGCATCTGTTATAAAAAAATTTTTAATACTTTTTAAAAAATAGATTTTTAGGGAGAGAGGAAAGGAGAGGGAGAGAGAAACATCCATCGGCTTCCAGGGATCTAGCCCGCAACCTGGGTATGTACCCTGATCAAGAATTGAACTGGCAACCTTTTGGTGCACAGGATGATGCCCAACCAACCGAGCTACACCAGCCAGAGCATAAAATTTTTTAATTAACTTGCTTATTCTGAGGGTTATAAGATTACAGGTGAGATAATCCCTATGAAAGCACTTGTTAACCAAAAATGCAATGTAAATGTTAAGATGTGATCATTATTGCCCTGGCTGGTTGATTCAGTTGGTTGGAACATCATCCTGTACACCAAAAAGTGGTGGGTTTGATTCCTAGTCAGGGCACATACTCAGGTTGCGGGGTTCAATCCCCACTCAGGGTACATGCAGGAGGCAACCAATCGATGTTTCTCACATTGATGTTTCTCTCCCCCTTTCCTCTCTCTCTCTAAAATCAATTAAAAACACACACCCACGCAAACATATCCTCAGGTTTGGATTTTAAAAAGTAAAAAAGATGTGATCATTATTATTAAATGAGCCCTAAGATTTGCTCCTAACATTATAAGAAAGTTATGTACATTGTGATGGAGTAAAAGGAGATTTAACATTCAGAGAAAATGTTTATTTTATTTTTTATTGATTTCAGAGAGGAAGGGAGAGGGAAAGGAGTGATAGAAGCATCAGTAATGAGAGAGAATCATTGATCAGCTGCCTCCTGAACACTCCACACAGGGGATCGAACCCACAATCTGGGCATATGCCCTGACCGGGAATTGAATCGTGACCTCCTGGTCCATAGGTCAACGCTCAACCACTGAGCTACGCCGCTGGGCGAAAATGTCTATTTTAAATTGTTAATAAATATACAAAGGTGAGCAGTGTGAGCCTTAACAT